TCCATCAAAATTGATTTCAAAGTGCTGCAACTTCTCAATGGATTGAGATAGAGTCAAATGCTTTTCAGCGTTGGTTACACGTTACCTTATGATCAATATGGGGTCATTTATAGCCTCTCACAAGTCCAAAATTTTCTTGGCGATGAGGGGGACTCCGCCCCCTTTAAACCCCCCAAACAGAAGGGGGCACATCCCCCTTCTGGCAACCCCCTGATGTATCTTTTGGTTAGGGGCAGCGCCGAAAAAGAGGTCACTTTTTTTAACAACATTTCTCAAACAAAAACAAGTGTTGGGGGCCTAAATAAGGCATTTTTTCACCAATTGAGACAACAAAAAGGGGGGGTAAAAAGGCGTTAAAAGGCGTGTATATAACGTAATGGGTTAAATAGTCTGTGATTAATAGTGAGATCAAATCCCGTTTTAAGCCTCACTATATTTAAAATGTCTCGATACGTATAGCCTCTCACATAATACATAGTTATGCATTCATCCATTGTTGATAAAGATGTACAATGCGCATGTCCACCGGAAGGCGATGGCACGATGGTGAAAACGCGATGGTACGATGGTGAAATCGCGATGGCAGGATGGTGAAATCGCGATGGCACGATGGTGAAAACGCGATGGCACGATGGTGAAAGCGCGATGGTACGATGGTGAAATCGCGATGGCACGATGGTGAAAACGCGATGGTACGATGGTGAAATCGCGATGGCACGATGGTGAAAACGCGATGGTACGATGGTGAAAGCGCGATGGTGCGATGGTACGATGGTGAAAACGCGATGGTACGATGGTGAAATCACGATGGTACGATGGTGAAAACGCGATGTAACATCGCGTTTTCACCATCGTACTATCGCGCCATCGCGATTTCACCATCGTATCATCGTGATTTCACCATCGTACCATCGCGTTTTCACCATCGTACCATCGTGCATCGCGGGTACAGAATAAATAAAATGTCACGATTGTCCAAACGTGTCCAAACGGAACACCGTAGTTTTACTGACTGTTACAGGACTTTTTTGTTGCATTGTTACTGTCACAGCAGAGACGGCATTCACTAATCTTATAAGGTTCAATTTAGATGGATTAAGCTGCACGCATTCTGTTTTCAGTGTCAACAACGTTTTCAGTGAGATTGTTTGTGCATTCATATGTTCAAAAACTTCTCTATGTGCCGCAATATCATACAATACAATCACTTACAATTGTGTTGGGTGTTACATGTTTGACATGGCGGAAAATGTGGAGTCGCAGGAAAGGGTCCTATTTTATGGAGTTCTTGGAGGTTATTAATTATTTAAAAAAACTAAGAAAGCTACATCGGAAAGCCAAAAATTGAAAGTCTGTACCTCTTAGAACTAACAAAACCTTCACATTTTATATGCTTTACTGTGACATTTGACTTTGAGTCGTTAATTAATTTATGAGACAGTTTTCTGTGAATTTTTTGTTTATATTTTACACTAGCAGTCATGTGTGCAAATTGTGCTAAGATGTTTTTAAGTAACATCTTACTAACATTAGTATGATTTAGACCAACCAGAAATCCATCATATTTGAAATGTTGCTTTGACTAAGTATCAACTTACAGATTTTATGGAATTGTGAATTACGAATGTTATCAATTACATTCAGCGTGATACAGTATAGCACGTGGTCAAGTTGCTGTTGAGATGTAACACATTTTTTAATGTCTCGGTCATTTGACTCGTCTATCTACTCTCTTTATATTGTGGGCACTGTTCTTTTTTCTCTCCGTCATTTAATAGCAACAATTATTGATGGAGAAATTTTTACTGAAAAAAATTCCCGACTGCATATAGCAAAACTTTAATAACTTACTTCAAGAACCAAAATGAAATTATTCTCTATCTTATCGGTATTGTCATTTGGATTTGAAGAATTAATCCACTAATGCTTCTAACTGATATCCGTAAGAGAGAAGTTGCACATGGAGACGTCTTCCCACGTACTACATACTGTATATAATAATGGATTTTGAAAAATGGTGAATAAATCGTTAAGACTTGAATTTAAGAAGCATTATAACAATGACAATGAAAGTCGAAAATATCAAACCGCTCTTACGTTGTTTTTACATGTCACAACTTACTTTACTTCAAAATATCTCACTGGTGGTACAGGGGTCATAGGCTTTATCCCACGGCCAATACTCATAAAAGTCTCAAATGAGATCATAAAAAATCAAGGTCCCGTATGACCTTTGGAACGAGACCACTTCCTTACCCATGCACTACCTAAAAAAAGAGATTAAAACAACCAACAGAATTCGCGTTTTTTTTTGTTTTTGTTTTTTGTTGTTGTTTTTTTTTCCATCAAAGAAGATTACCTTGTTCTTGATGATGAACCTCAAGCATGCACTGATACCAACAGGTCAAGGATGTATTCCGGCATGTGTGAAATCCCTCCGAGAAAGTATCTATATACGTGTCAGTGAGACATGTTGCCCATTGGTGCTTGGTATAGGAAAGTGAAAATAAGACACATTCAGTTGCGCCTATTTTGTATGATCCAGATTCTGTAGATTTGTAGCAAATACATCTAGCTGATCCAAATAATATTGAAAACAATATAAAATAAAGAAAATATCCCATGCTTGATTATAAATGTTTTCCTTCTTTCTCTTTATAGTGTACCTAACACTCCTGTGTAGCTGGCTACAGGTGGGCATCCGGTTAAATAGTGGGAGAATGAAACAAGGAAGCTTTTTTATTTCATAGACTTCGCAGAATTTTGTCATATTTCGTTTCATGGTGAAACATAACGAATACACTTTGTTTTTCTTTGTGAATTTCTTTCCGTTAACTTCTTCAATCGACGCCAAGTCCTTTATTAAATATGTTTAAATCATTTTACTCGTACAGGTTTCTTTGAAAGATTTGTTCATGAAAAATAAATTAATTGTTGCTTTTTTCGTATTAAATGGCAAATCTATTTTATATTGTATATTTATAAGTTGTATATGTAAGCGCAAATGTTTAGTGTGTCACGATATACTATTTCTTTACAAGCAAACCTACCTATGTTTAATTTTGATTCCGAATTGCATATATATTTTTTTAAATCGTTGAAGACTCACAATGCATAACCATGCTGAAATTACAGAATTCGAGAGCCAGTTTTTTTCTCACATATCATTATTTCAGGGTGGGGTGTGATCTGTTGTCAGTCTCCCTTATTAATTAACCCAATCCAATACATACCATCAGAATTGTTGGTCTGCATATCTGACGAATGAATTTAATCAATTATGTATGAAACGATGGGTCCATCGCTGCGGCGGCGAAGCATTCATCGCAGATGCGGCGGATAGATCTGACTTTCACAGGTGGCAGTATCAGTGTTTGGACACCCAATCCCTATCTGCCCCTGGACCCCTACTATAACCCTGAAAAAAACACTCTAAGGCTTTTAATAAGGTACAAAATACAAAACCACCGATAAAATTATGAACAAAAAATTCCACTATAAAAATTATAGTTATAGAAAGTTAAAAAAAAAAGCCTACTAAATTGTATATGTTCATTTGCCAAACAATGTGGAACACAGGAAATCGTCGTTTCGGCGACTGAGGCGCATTCCGAAGGCATCTCGCCTCATACAGTTATTGTTTTATTACAATAACTTAAACAATATCTCATGAGATTTCTTCTTCAATTTTTGACGTAATTAATCATAAGTTTAGTGTTGAATACAATTTGATAATAGAGTTATTTCAGCCAAAGAATAACCAATGTAAGTTTGATCAACAACCGGCGAGATATGCCCTGTAGTGATCACCAAAGCTGGCGCTTAAAACTTTATCAGCTTTAAGAGAAGACGTCAATACAAATTTACAAATGAAAAGTTTATTTGTCTTTTTCATCACATAGAATAAATTCTATTGAGACATATACGTGTGTAAAAAATCATTCACAAAAAAACACAAATTAACAAGGTATCAACAATATGGCAGATAACTTAATTATATTCACGAAGTCCTTTATATAGTCCTTTTTTGGGGGCAAAATACGTTGAAAATTAAAAATTTCATTGAAATTCACACGCTATAATGACAGGACTGGCATGTATATACAGCTGGATCTTACTAGCCAATTGATTCATGCAAAGTGAAACCTAAGAACTCTTTCATATTTTTTTCTTAAGCAAACAATATAGTGTTATTTATTTAAAAACTTGACATATATAACATTACCACAAGCACTTTATGTCCAGATGAGTTAAAGTGTGTGATATATACGGGCGACTCATTACAGTCCTGTGTTCAGTTCAGGATCAAAATTTATACTGGTATAATTTCAAATATGCTTTTACATATTAAATACTTAAAATTTAAAGTGGACATGAATTACATAAGATGATAAAAGTCTAAAAAGTGCTATTAATAATAAATCATTTCACATTCATCACAACTTTCTTCGGGTAATATTTGACTTATTCCTTTCCAATTAACCAATTCCTTCGCAGCCGTTTTACGCTTGCTTAAAACCTCACCTGTTGCCTTTTTATACCCAAAAGAAGAAAGAAAGAAAGAAAGAAAGAAAGAAAGAAAGAAAGAAAGAAAGAAAGAAAGAAAGAAAGAAAGAAAGAAAGAAAGAAAGAATCAAAACCGGGATTTGTTTGCTAGTATGCCAATTTTCGCATATTTTAAAAATGCCATGATAAGCACAATGTTTGTCAGGTAGCGAAACACTAATGGGGAAACCAATTTAAATTTTAATAATTCAGACTTTCGTTTAAAAAAAACACATCATAAATCATAGGAAATTTTATGTATCAATATACAATAATAATAAAACAGAAAGTGTCAGTTCCGATGTGACATATTGATTTATATTGGCAACAAAAATATATATTGAAATTGCAGAGCATATTTTATTAATATGTTTTAAAATGGTTTTTCAATTAACAGCGGGCTTTTATGTTTCTAATTTATATCATTTCAGACAAGCAAAACTATATTATAGCAATTCCAGACTTGATTAATTGAAAAAGCATTTTTTTCTCCAATGTGTACGTACTGACTCGAAAGCTTCACGAAAGGACTAGCTGTTGATAGGAGCCATAAATATGGCGCTCGGTTTCTTAACAGTTTTACTGACTGTTACAGGACTTTTTTGTTGCATTGTTACAGTCACAGCAGAGACGGCTTTCACTAATCTTATAAGGTTCAATTCAGATGGATTAAGCTGCACGCATTCTGTTTTCAGTGTCAACAACGTTTTCAGTGAGATTGTTTGTGCATTCATATGTTCAAAAACTTCTCTATGTGCCGCAATATCATACAATACAATCACTTACAATTGTGTTGGGTGTTACATGTTTGACATGGCGGAAAATGTGGAGTCGCAGGAAAGGGTCCTATTTTATGGAGTTCTTGGAGGTAATTAATTATTTCAAAAACTAAGAAAGCTACATCGGAAAGCCAAAAATTGAAAGCCTATCTAACCTGTACCTCTTAGAACTAACAAAACCTTCACATTTTATATGCTTTACTGTGACATTTGACTTTGAGTCGTTAATTAATTTATGAGTCAGTTTTCTGTGAAATTTGTGTTTATATTTTACACTAGCAGTCATGTGTGCAAGTTGTGCTAAGATATTTTTAAGTAACATCTTACTAACATTAGTATGATTTAGACCAATCAGAAATCCATCATATTTGAAATGTTGCTTTGACTAAGTATCAACTTATAGATTTTATGGAATTGTGAATTACGAATGTTATCAATTACATTCAGCGTGATACAGTATAGCACGTGGTCAAGTTGCTGTTGAGATGTAACACATTTTTTAATGTTTCGGTCATTTGACTCGTCTATCTACTCTCTTTATATTGTGGGCACTGTTCTTTTTTCTCTCCGTCATTTAATAGCAACAATTATTGATGGAGAAATTCTTACTGAAAAAAATTCCCGACTGCAGATAGCAAAACTTTAATAACTTACTTCAAGAACCAAAATGAAATTATTCTATATCGTATCGGTATTGTCGTTTGGATTTGAAGAATTAATCCACTAATGCTTCTAACTGATATCCGTAAGAAGTTGCACATGGAGACGTCTTCCCACGTACTACATACTGTATATACACAGAAAGGGAATAACTGATAAAATATTGTTGTGCTTTTTTTTAATATAATCATCATTTCTCGATTGAAACATAAATAAAATAGAAACCATTTGATTCATTTTTATCTTGTAACAGCTACCAATGTCGTTAATGTGGCTTACAACAAGAAAGCTGTTCAATCTAGTGTTTTTAAACAACACTATGCGGGAAAGGGAGTTGACGGGAACGCAGATCAATATTTCTCCTCGTCACTTCCATGTTTTGAAACATTCAACAGCACGGGAACTTTCAACTGGTGGTATGTTGACTTGCAATATACATACATTGTGAAGGAGGTGAAAATGTTCAACCGACTTGATTGTTGCGGTTAGTATATTGTTTGTGTTATATATTGTTATCATTATTATTTATAATTATTCATAAGACAGGCTTATAGGTTGGTATCAGTATATCAATTAATCCAATAATTAAAATTTCCCAAATTTCATTTCAACTTGAAAATAGTACTATAGTAAATTGATATTTTTTGATTTCAGCATCTCGAGCTAATAATGTACAAGTACTTCTTGGTAATTCTTTAGACAGTTTGACGGAAGTTGCTTTTTCAGCTGGACAAATTGAAAATATTTGGTCTGTCCCATTGCCAGCAGTAACACTAGGACGATATGTGAAACTTGTTCATAAAGGGCATCGACAATTTCATCTTTGTGAAGTGCAAGTATTTGCTACAGCAGGTATTATATGGAATTTTTTCCTTTCTCTCAAGAGAGATACTGTTTTATAAAATGTTTATACTTTCATTAGTAAATGTTAAATCTAACGCAAATTTACATGCTAGAACTGTTTTAGCTGATTTGTCTGGTTGCACAAATTTTGCACTTTTTAATTGTTGTCTCTCATGAACGATACCTAGTCTGGTTATATTTTTTTTTAAAAAAGTCTTAAATTGTGTCGTTATATTAGAGTCGTTTTGTTTTTAAATCTATGTGTTTAGACTGCTTTATTCCTTATTCTTACAGCTTAAAACTCGACGCAGTCAGTGGACACACCTGTAAAGCAGAATGCAGGGTATCACAATTATCAATACGTAAAAATTCTTGCATAAATAACACGCCCGTTTAACTCACAACGAGTGAAAAATGTCCATCGGTAAAAATGTTGTGAGCAACTTCCGTTCCTCGTTGTGAGCACCCATCTTTGACGTGTGACACGATAAACAAGGTGACTTTTTCATAATTTTTGAAGATTACAGACATTTATGTAAAAATATCGGAATGCAGTTAGCTAGCGATGTGTTTTCCGAGTATGCACATGTAAAGATATTGTCTGTTGGTGGACAATTTGATGGAAATACCGTGCGACGCAGTCACTCGGGGTAGCTGGAAAACTGGAGACAACTTCTCTTTGGACCTAATTTAACATTGAAAACGTCGATTCTGGTGACGTTTTGTGCATTCTTACCTAAAACAGATGCCCACAAGTCTTCAGCGTAAATTATTATCAGAAAGTCTTCATAGAAACGAAGATATACCCTTTTTGCTTTAATCCTCGTTGTGAGCACCATAACCTCGTTGTGAGCAAGACAAGCGCAGTGCGTGTATGGTTTTAATATGTAATTCAGATGGTGAAAATATAATTTTCAATCTACCACAGCAATTAAAACGTTTTTGCACAGCAGCATTTCTTTGCAAGACGTCGTGCATACCCCAAAGGGAGACATATTAGTTTTGAACTGTCCGTCTGTCAGTCCGAGCAAATATTTGATATTTATGAGCTTCATTCCGTAGTTAAATAAAGAACAAAAACGCATAAGATTCAAATTAAGAGCTATTTTTTGAGCTAATTTTGCTAATGGACGTTGGTCCAGGTGATTTGCCTCATAAATATCAAAAGTTGGTACGTCCGTCAATCTGTCCGAAAACTTTTACATTGGCCTTAACTTCCTTATTAGTAAACGGATTTGATTCATATTTGAACACAACATCCCTTAGCACCTTGCTACGGACCTGTATTTTTTTTTACCTTGACCCCTGAATGGCCTTTACCTTGAAGGTCAAATTGTCCAAAAACATTTAAGATTGGCCATTATGTCCTGGCATAATGTTTTGGCACAACACATCTTTGGACAAGGCCTTTCAACTATCCTATATTATTTTGACCTTGACCCCTGAATGACCTTCACCTTGAAGGTCAAATTGTCCAAAAACTTAAAAATTGGTCATAACTTCCTTATTAGTAAACGGATTCTACTCATATTTTTAAAAAAACACCCCTAGGCAAGATCTTCAAACTGATCTGTATTTTTGTTATCTTGTACCGTGAATGACCTTCTAGAACATCCAAAAACTTTAGCATTGGTCATCACTTCTTTATAAGTAAGTTGATTTAATTCATATTAGGACACAATGCCCCTTTGGACAAGACCTTCCAACTGACCTATATTTATTTTACCTTGACATTGTATTACCTTCACATTGAAGATCTACTTGTCCAAAAACAAATAATCTATCTGGTCCATAAATCAAAGGACAAATCACCACTTCAGGGGCATTGTCAACTTACCGTGATAGTTCTTGTTTTACATAACTTGGTCAGTCTTCAGCTCAGGATAAACACATGTATGTGTGTATCACACAGACTGTGAAATTGTTGAAATATTCATAAACTCCCGTGATGTTCACTCGAGCCAAACTAGAGTATACGAAATAAAATACCTGATTTACCTACACTGATTAGTTCTTCTGTTAATCTGATGACTTGTGAATATGAAGAATAATTTTCAAAAAAACTTTTAAAAAGAAAAAGAAGAACTTTTGCAAAGAAAAACTATTGTACAAAAACGTTTTGATTGCTTTTGGTAGATTGAAAATTGTATTCTTGCCATTTGAATTACATATTAAAACCAGACAAGCAAGTGCGCTTGTCTTGCTCACAACGAGGTTATGGTGCTCACAACGAGGATTAAAGCAAAAAGGGTATATCTTCGTTTCTATGAAGACTTTCTGATAATAATTTACACTGAAGACTTGTGGGCATCTGTTTTAGGTTAGAATGCACAAAACGTCACCAGAATCGACGTTTTCAATGTTAAATAAGGTCCAAAGAGAAGTTGTCTCCAGTTTTCCAGCTACCCCGAGTGACTGCGTCGCACGGTATTTCCATCAAATTGTCCACCAACAGACAATATCTTTACATGTGCATACTCGGAAAACACATCGCTAGCTAACTGCATTCCGATATTTTTACATAAATGTCTGTAATCTTCAAAAATTATGAAAAAGTCACCTTGTTTATCGTGTCACTCGTCATAGATGGGTGCTCACAACGAGGAACGGAAGTTGCTCACAACATTTTTACCGATGGACATTTTTCACTCGTTGTGAGTTAAACGGGCGTGAATAAAACGCAGGAAAAAACAATGTTTAATCGAAGAATTTGTAGAATATATTTACTTATGCATAAAAATGTGGAACAAATTCAAATTCGAAAGTAGGACTTGTCTGAGTAACACGTGAATACAAATCCAAGATAAAAGTACCAGTCGGGGATCTTTCCCGAACGGGAAAATAGTAGCTATAGAGACCCTTTTTTCCCTTCCTGAACTGAATAATTCCCCGTTCGGAAAAGAAACGTCCCTTTCTCATGTACATGTACCCTCGGGTATATGGGATTGACAGAATACATCCATTCTTGTTGACGATGGTTTGAATCAGATCTTAAAACAATTATCTAAAATATTACCAAATTTTTAAAACACCATAGACCTAGTTTATGAAATATTGTAGCTCAAAAATGAAGGAATTGTTGCGTATCCTTGAATAAAATGTCCTATTTTATGTTTATATAAATTATGTATATATTTATGTCTGTCGATTGATTGTTGTTTGATGTCAGTAAAAAACATGACACAAAATAAAGGGAAATTGTCATTAAATAATAAATGACGTACACGGAAATCTTAGAGTAACAATGCAGAATTATGTGAAATAAAAATGTACAATAAAGTTATACATTAAAATTACAATTGTTATAAAAAGGACTACATGTATACAAAATACTAATTGCATTTTTTTTCTTTTAAACTATAACGCATGTATGAAACAAATATCAAATATTGTTTTTTTTATATCTACATATGTTGAATCCTCATTTGAATATTAAGATGTTGATGACGATTACCATTTCACATGCATCTGTTATTGGTATGAGTTATGAAGACAAAACACTTTATGTCGAAAATTTTACAACATGTAAAAGAGGGCACTTTCAGTTATAACGAAACAGCATGTAACAACAAGAGCGATCAGTGATCGCATGTGTCGCCTCATGATAGTCTTAATAATATCTGTCATATTTTGCGGTTCGATCGGATATCGTCCGAGTGACGCCCTTGGGCGGTAACGAGCTTGCGATTACGCCCATTAGTTACAAACATTGAAGGTCAGAAAGATATTTCGATAACCATACGCGTGAAACATATCAGATATTTTTTTCTTAATATCTACCAATAACCCATTTATACATGTTAAATTCTACTATATGCTTTATTTGTCAATGGAAATTCATACATTAACGTACTATTTCATTCAACAGCGTTGAATTACAAAATCATTCAAACAGTAATTAATAATTCCGTATAAATATGTGTGTGTTGTATATTAGATTGATGACGAAAACATGCATCTTTTGGGAACCCATGAAGCAAAACATATTGAAAATTTACAACATGTAAGAACCTAACGAACACGCCAACGTCTGATCGATGCGAGAAGTCAATTGCATCTTGCAGCCACTGTGTAGCAGGAGACACAAAAACATTAACAGGGCAAAAAAAAGTTTTTTATTAATGAGTCATAACTCAGCAAAAAAAAACAATCAACCCAAAAAACCGTGTAATATGCTGTCGATCAATCCTGTAAAGTTTCATTTGAATTGCATAAGTGGTATAAGAGGAGTAGTCCAGACAAATTTAATAAAATCATTTAAGGGCCATACGGGGAAGTCAAAGAATGGGACTGCAAAAAGGGACAGACAGACAGATGACGGAGAAATGATCCCTATATGCCGCCACTACTCTGTAGAGGCGACACAAAATGTATTCGAAAGCCTAAGTCTTTTTACTTTGAAAACCACATGGCTCTTTTGGTTTTTAAAAGTGGACATAATCTGGCACCATATATACATGTATACATGTATCTGAAATTCTAGATTTTTTTCTTGAAATGGTAGGTATAATCTTCGCTCAGGTCACGGACAAATTATATGGAACTAATATTTACTTTATAGACCTCAATCAGTATGCAAAAATCTATACAATTGTTAACGTCAAATAATAAAACTGGGCTTATACATGTCATACGTTTATCCAAGTTTGTTAAAGAAACTCGTTAGTATACAGTCAAACTTGTATTAAGCGACCGTGTTGGAGACAAGGAATTACAACGGAGATGTTTAAAAATTCTGGAAAAATGTCAAACATGTACGTAATGGATCAAAACTGATTTGTCAATAAATATCAGAAAGGTATTTTTTTACATTAGCATCCATTTAGATTATCGGAGCGTTCTAATTATTAAACATTTAAAAAACATTCCCACGGCAAGAGAAAGATGTCATGTATAAATTTTGACTTTTTATCATGCTTTGTCTTAAGAGACCGTTTTATTAAGCGACCGTTTTGGGTGTTTCCCTTGCGCGGTCGCTTAATACAAGTTTGACTGTACATATATAACTGCCAATGGATGAATTAATATCATTTTTCATTCGGTATTTTTTGTTTCCAGTACAAAAACAATATAAAGTCTTATATATGTATATACACATATACAGTAATTAAATGTACATTTTTCTCGTCTGTGATTTTCTTTATTGTCATGAACTTATTATACATGTATATTATGTGTAATAGATGTATAATTGTGGATATTGTAATTTTTAGAAATCTTAATAAAATTTCTTTACTTTCTTGATTTCGATCTTTTATTTAAAAGACTGACCAACGAAAGATTTTATACTTCAAAAGTCTTGCTATGGTGCAAAAAAAATCGGTGTTCAGCTATATGCAGAATTAAATTTTACTTTTGTCATCCAGTTTTTATTATGCCCCAGAGCACTAGAATATTTCGTTGAAAGCGAAATAGAAAAATCAATTATCCACAGATCAGTTCATAAATAATTATGATAGTAATTAATAGATATAAATTATCAATAGGATACGTACATCAAGTCATAAAAATGATGCAAGTTCATTAAATGGCTGATCGAGTTATGAGAAACACATTTTTCATAACTATAGTTTATTGATTATGTGCCTTATATAGGTCTCACGAATCAAATAGAGTTTCTTAGAAACTCGTTATAATCGTGTTCCACTGAAACCGTAGTGTTATATAATCCGCCTGGACTCAATCTCTTAAGCGTCTCTCTACCTCTATTTCTTCGCTTTTCCTCCTCTCAAGCAAACGCAGTAACAACAAGGTATAGTTGTTGCCAAGGTTTTAAACTACGGTCTATATTCATAGCTGCATTTCATAATATTGTACAACTTTCCTGGCCTTGGAGTGAAAAAATTTCTGCAGATTTCGAATAACCAGTCAAGAACGTGGCAATTTACAAAGGGCATAACCATAAGGTTTCTTTGTATATTGCAAGAAATAATGTTAAACAATGAATTTGGTTTATCATTAAAATGCAGTCCAAGCCATTTATTAAAATGAAAGATTTTGGTCAAATGTTGTTCCCAAGAAACCTGACCGTATATAGGTTTATTAACGCCTTTTTTCTTCGTGTATTCTTCTTCTTTATTTAGGTAGGTTTTAATTCAAACGTCTTGTCCGAATGACATTCGCCATATTTTATATACTGTTCAACTGGTTTTATCTGGTCCGTCATCAGGATCATTGATTCTAGCAATTCAAGCCGGTGCTAAGGGGCATGAGGGATGCACGCTGCACTTTTTCATTATCCCTCATGTACAGACTCAATCAAACCGAGTCTGCAATTTTCATGTAATTTTGTTGTCTTTAACGATTCTGAGGTATCACCCTTGTTCCATATATTTTTAAGACAGTGTGAATTATAGAGAAATATTTAGTGTCATAATGGAGGCACAGTACAGTTTACAAAATAGAGTGAAATAAGAATCCCTAAAGAAAGCCCAACGCGGCAAAATTGAAAATGTTGCAGGCTCGGTTTGATTGAGCCTGTTCATGAACGGTACTGTCAAGTGCAAACTACCGTCCACACCCCCTAGCACCGGCTTAAGCAGAATTCAACATTTAATATGAACTGGTAAAATTTAGAATTTTGAAACACCCGCAGATGTGTTCATATGGCGGTTATCATGGAACCTTCAATGTGACACTTTTGTGTCATTCCATGAAAAGCGCCATATGGTCCCCAAGTAAAAAACATGCATGTGCCATAAACGAGAAAACAATGGGCGGAACTAAATAAAATGGAATTTTGAAAGGGGATCTGAGGTTATGAAGCCTGCATATCACAGATATTGCGTCAAAAGACAAATTTAAAAAGCAGGCCACATATCCTAAGGGTGATTCAACAGTATTCAAGTAAGGAATACTGGAACCACCCAACAAGAAATATGCCGAATAGAAACGTCTCACGCCGCCAAAACTAAAATCTTACAAAAAATATGATACATGTCCAACTTCTTGTTTTCTAGTAGACAGTCCTGTTTTTATATATATTGTTTTGGCTGCGGAAGTTCATTACAAAAGAGTGAATTGCCCTTATTCGCAAAGTAACAAAAATATATCAACGTCATACATGTAAGTTAGAACCACGTGAGGGGGGGGGCCTACTTTACTTTACTCTACTTTACTTTATCCAGCGTAGGGTCTGGTTAAAGTCTCTGCCTCTCAACCAAGGGATCATGGATTCGAGCCTAAGCTTATCGGGTCACGACCATGTTCCTTCATATGACACCTTCCAGGAACCGGACTCGAAAGTAATTGATAGAAGTTGCAATAACTTAATTGTTTCGCAATCGAGCTTAAATAAATATGTTTAAACCAGAACACATGTATATGGGATTTCTTCCTTCTTAAACAATGCTCAATCTGCAAATATAATGGGGGATGGGGGAATATGCACCTCCTGTTAAACCTTTTTAAGTCTTCTGCTCAACACCACTTAATTAAATTTTTATAAATAACCGTGCTGAAACACAATTTTATAGGCACTGAAACTTAAAATATAGTAACTATAACTATTTAAAAGCTTAAATATACACTTCAATTTCAAAACTGTCTCTTTCGATATCACAGGGACCCAGCACAGTGTTGGGACAGTGTAAAAAAGTAATTCTAGAAAAAGAAAGTATACTGTATTTAATAAATACAGTATATATTTTTTCTAGAATTACTTTTTTACACTATCCCATAACTGTGCTGGGTCCGTGTGCCTCGGGTGTATAGAAAGTTTTAAAAAATTAGTACAGTACAACCGATAATGAGTAAGCGATTAGTACAAATTTATGATAGTACGGATGCACCAAAGATGGCAGCGCCCATGAAAACATGTTTGTTAAATTCAAGAAAATACCCATTTTCTTGGATTGCGTGCAGATATTATGCTCGCAAAAGAGGGCACAATATACGAGAATTTATTTCACCCGAAGAAGATGTACAGAAGCTAAAGGGAAGGGTAAGAGATCCAAAAATGAATGCCTACCTGCCATACAATCCCGATGACCCGGTCCAGGAAAGTCACAGCATAGCTGCTAAGCGGACTAAGGAAAATTATTTAAGGAACAAAATCAACGAAACAGGATTTAAAATAAATGAAAACGTGACCAAGGGATATAGAAAGACTGAAAGGGTGTCGAAGGGAAATAAAAGTGCTCCAAATTTTTCTGGTAAAGATGAACATGATCAAGACAGCATTAGTTTTGAAAAACTTGAGGAGGCAGACAAAAGATTTGGGTATGACCATATCAAACATTATATTGTCTGTTTATTTTATGTCATATAGTTATACACCCAAAGGCTTAGCTAAAGAGACTTCAGCGAACAAGTTTTATAGTACTGCTAGACCTGTTCGCTGAAGCCAATCCTGTATCAAAAATCAACCAGAACCGTGACATATTTATGTCATGCTGTAATTCAATAAATTTGCCTGATCTGGACAAAAGCTATTTTAATACAGATAGTTAGATATATTTGGGACACTTCAGTCACAGAACGTTAGATTGATGAAATAATGCCTCAAAGTTTATCAGTGGGTTCACATTTCATAAAATTCGCCGCCATAATTTGCTGCCCTAATTATCATGTGACTAGCGAGAATTTAGGTTTCGGATACCTTTGCATGACATTTGGTGACCTGTGACCCAAATGCTATTTTTAATTTGCAATTATGAATAATGGTGTATTTATTCAATAACAGACATTGTACCATAAACATGTCGGATTTAATTGTTTTTAGTGATGATTCTTGAATTATTTGTTTGTTTTTATTTAAACTTCAATTAAAGTTGTACATTTACTAAATATAGTGTATGGTCTGTTACTAAAAATAGATGCTAGAATTCCCAAAACTTGAAGTCCCGCGAGATTTCATTTGAAAGCAGACTCCATATAGGTAAACATTCTCTACATATTTCCCTATTAAATAGTTGGGTACACAATTTCATTGAAGTTTCATTTAAAAACAAAACATGAATTGATTCAAAATTGATTTGTTTATCAAATGGTATTTTTATTTGAGCCAAATTTGATTAATAAGGGTGATTTTAATTAGTAGGTTTTTATGTACGGCACACAAACTGCCAAAATTCTGGTAGATTTTGCAAAAAGGGTTGACCCATAACTTTACTGTCGCACAACGTCAAAATAAAAGCGAAAAATAAAGTTATGGAAGCCAGAACTACCAAAGGCAGAGCGGGCCCCAGGAGGGCTGAAGTGCTCTTAGATAACATGTACGATGTGTATACTATAAGTTAAAATTTTTAATTGAAGTCAAAATGAAAATCAATAAAAAAATATGTTGAAGTCTCACAAAAGTTTGAGAAAAATCTTAGTCCAATTTTATAATCCTTGGACTGATTCTATATTTGAGCTAAATTTACGTATCAGGGCACTTTTGATTATAAAAGCATTTAATTCAGACCAGGGTCTTTCAAATAGAATTGAAAGACCCTGTTCAGACTGTTGCTAGAATTACTAGAAGCGGAGATGTTCTGATTGGCCTTAGAGTTGAGATTGTTCCCATATCGTAATATCCTGTTGATTATCAATCAGTTAAATTGAAGATGTAAAAATTTTGTGTTTTAGTTTAATTTCCCTTCAAATATACATGTGCATTAGGGAACAGATGCCTGGTATGATGCAAAAATTAGGATTTAAAAAAAAATTAAAATGCCTCTGTTTTGCCAACACACACTGTACATAATATACATATAGTTCAGTGCTTCCTTGGCAACAAAAATAATCCTAAGGCTATTCTAATGCTGTATGCAACAACGCCTATTCCCATACTGAGTATTTATTATCGATGATTGTAGGCAAGAAAAACCTTTGCATCCATTACAAGGGACTCAACTATTGAAGTTCTATCTCAAGCCTTCATTTTGGCAATTGTTACACTGTAGGTAGAGAATTGGGAAAACTTTTAAATGCACTTATTTTCAATTGGGAAGGTCTGTTTAATAGACCCCATTAAAGAAGGAAAAACACCACAGTGTTAAAATCTTGCAGAACATGCTATGGAAAATTTTACAAATCAGATATAATTTGCTTTGCTCATAGTAAAAATGTCACAAAGCAAAGTCATATAGGACTAAATAGGGGGTGAGGAGGCATGAAATACCTAAATATTGTTCTTAATTATAAAATGTATATAGGGTATGTTACATTTTACTATACTTCACATTTATTGATAAAATTTCAAACCTATGGTTGGCCTACCTCTTTATTGACGGTATAGGCCTTTTGCATGCACATAGTGGGTTCAGAATGTCTGATAAATTGCTCTGTGGCTTATTTTCAGGCGACTTATTATGGCAGCAAGAAGTAAAAAGAAAAGAGATGACAGTAAAGAAATTGTTCTTGAGGGAAAACTTCTTATTAAAGATGCTCTTGAAGTTGGTGCCAAATTGAAAGTGCTTTACTTTACAAAGATGGATTTAGTAGAAGAATTGCCTACTGAGCTGCTTGGTAAAGCTAAACTTTACAAAGTCTTATACAAACATCTTAAACTCTGGTCGGACGTCGAGACCCCACAAGGTTTACTAGGTTAGTAAATTTTTTAAAATAATAATTCTGCATTGTATATCATATTAGAAAAACTGTAGGTCCATGCTATTGTTTAAATTTTAGTGTTTAAAAAATTAGAGCATTAGTACAGTTGCACTTGTTAGTCTGGTTATGGTGTCGAAGTATAGGGAGAGCTATTGTACTCACCCGATGTCAATTTCGGCACCTTCATTTGGTAAAGTTTTTGCATGCAAGTTGGTATTGTTAAGTAGGCTCCATACATGCGTTAGTATTAACAAGGGAATGTCTGCAATATGATTTTTGTGTAATCAAGGAGTGTTTTTATTTTTCACTATTTTAGGAATCTTTGAAATGCCAACTAAAGCTTTAAGACCGATCTCCAACCCGATACCACTAACGTTGATCTGTGATTCAGTACGGGATGGTGGTAACCTCGGCACCCTGATACGAACTGCAGCAGCTGTAGGTTGTCAGAAGGTCATAGCACTGAAAGGTAACTTCAGTCTTTAATATACATACTGTTTCCTTTATATCATGGAATTTATTAATGAAATTGCCCACTTTTGAAGTGTCTATTGTTAATTTAGGTAATTTTAATAAAAAAAATTATGCCGAGATAAACTTTTGATATATATATATATAGAATTGTTTTACTGTGTACAATATGGCCTCATTGTGTATATTGAGTGACTGATGAGGGAAGTTCAAATGCATCTGTTACAATGTTTTCGTTTTGTTCAAGAGTTTTTGCAAGCATTGAATATGAGTCACCTGGTGTCAAATATAGAATAAATGAAAATTTTGTTAAATCATCTTGGGCCTGTATTTTAAAGCAAGTCTTCATGCTTATTGAGTTGCAATGTTTAACTGATGATTAACAGGTCAAGATGTAATATGGGTTATAGGCATGTCAAGTCAGAAACAAGGTCAGCAAGTTAAATAAAAGAAAATCTTATTTACTTACACTCTAGAGAAATCATTTTCATCAGGAATAAGGAAACTTTCTCTACAAAGTGACTGTCTTGATGTGACTGTCTTGATGATTTCTTGGAAAAATGCATAAATATGATTCAATTTAGGGTCAAACACAACTTGACAATGTCACTTGTGGAAAAATGTCTGTCTGCAGAATTGTTTCCAATGATGTTTTTAAAATCAGCATCACTAGCTTTTAATATTAATGGGATAATTTTAGGATGTATGGGGTGGTATTTCAGAGCAGTTACCTTATAGATGTACATTCTGCTATTTATTACCATCCAACATCAACACCTATGTAACTGAAAAATTATTGATGGAAACATTAAAATCCGACACCTTCACACACATATCACACCTTTACACACATATATTGTATAGAACAATTTTTGTTTACAGGATGTGTTGATATATGGAATGGCAAGGTTCTTAGATCAGCAGCAGGAAGTCATTACAGGATACCAATCATGAGCAACATAACATGGTCCCAGGTACCAGCCATCTTACCCCCAGCAGACAATATCAAAGTATATCTTGCAGACAGTAATCAGATTGCAACTGAACAAAGCCTCGATGAAACCATGGCAACAAGAAATTCCATGGCAATGCAGGAGATAGAACAAACTAAAGATTATGAATTGTCTGATGTAGAAAGTGATGTTGATGATGAATGACGATGACTATGATGATTATAATGTTGATGAAGATGGTGAAATTAGTGCACAGAAAAACAGTGAAAAATTGACTGAAGAAATTGAAGATGAACCATCTTACAGAAGTTTCAAAGTTCTTAGTGCTTACAAAAATGCTCCAATAAACAACATAGTATATGACAAGGTAGATTATAGTAACAAACATACAGTGTTAGTGATCAGTGGAGAGACCTCAGGTTTATCATTACCTGCCAAAAAGTTAGCCTACGATCATTTTGGTGAGTGTGTTCACTTACCTATGACAGGCGGAGTTGAGAGCTTGAATTGTGCTATAGCAGGAAGTATTGTAATGTATGAGGTAGCTAAGCAGCATAGGAAGGTCAGTGGTTCAACATCAGAAGATGAATGAAAACTAAATGAAAAGAATTAAGCCATTTCTGTAATAAGATCATACATATTTTGTTTCAAAATTATGAATGTATAACAAGTTATTATTTTACTTTTGTTGAGTGATTAAGGTAGATGTCTTCAGATCAATTTCATCTCTTATCTTCTGAGCTCTGTGACTTGAAATCCCACTAGGGCAAAATGGAAGCTATCCAGCTTTATAGTGTTATGACAAGTTTTCATCAAATATTGGTATGAAATAAATTTTGTTTAGTATTTAGTTAGATTTTGAGTCTAACCAAGCTTGTCAAGTGATATTCTAGATTATTGCTATAAGAACCAAAATATCTTTCTATAAACTTTACATCACAACAATTTTGCTTTGTCTTAATTAAATTCCATGTTGAGAATGTACAATTTTGGGGGCATTAAGTTAGAATATCCCAAAATTACATGCCAAAAATCCCTATGTAGAGGTTACCACACTGTACAGTGATATTCCAAGAAGAAAATGACCCAAGGTGCCCTTCTGTACAGCGATATTCCATCATTATTGATAGAAATGACCTCAGGTACCCCATTTTGTAGTGACATTTCATCATTACTGGAAAAGGATGACCAAAGGTTCCCTTAAGTACAGGGACATTCCATCATTGCTAGTAGAGGATGATCCCAGGTTCCCTTAAGTACAGGGACATTCCATCATTGCTAGTAGAGGATGATCCCAGGTACCCTTCAGTTCAGGGACATTCAATCATTGCTAGTAGAGGATGATCCCAGGTTCCCTTAAGTACAGGGACATTCCATCATTGCTAGTAGAGGATGACCCCAGGTGCCCTTCAGTACAGGGACATTCCATCATTGCTAGTAGAGGATGACCCCAGGTGCCCTTCATTACAGGGACATTCCATCATTGCTAGTAGAGGATGATCCCTGGTGCCCTTCAGTACAGGGACATTCCATCATTGCTAGTAGAGGATGACCCCAGGTGCCCTTCAGTACAGGGACATTCCATCATTGCTAGTAGAGGATGATCCCAGGTTCCCTTAAGTACAGGGACATTCCATCATTGCTAGTAGAGGATGACCCCAGGTGCTCTTCAGTACAGGGACATTCTATCATTGCTAGTAGAGAATGACCCCAGGTACCCTTCAGTACAGGGACATTCCATCATTGCTAGTAGAGGATGATCCCAGGTACCCTTCAGTACAGGGACATTCCATCATGCATAATAGAGGATGACCCTAGGTACCCTTCAGTACAGGGACATTCCATCATTGCTAGTAGAGGATGACACCAGGTACCCTTCAGTACAGTGACATTCCATCATATTTTTGTTTGTTTGTTTCATTTTACGCCTTTTCCCAACAGTATTTAAGAACAAGAGGTCGGTCACCTGTATATAACCCATGGGCTTTTATTTGAACAAACTTGGTAGACACCGATAGGAAGATGTTTCATGCTAAATATCTAAGCTCTAGCTCATTGGATTTTTTAAAAGAATATTTTTTAAGTTTACTATACACATATAGTTTAAAAACAATGACACCCCTGGGGCGGGGCCAGTTTTGACCCCAGGGCTTTAATTTGAACAAACTTTGTAGACACTTACTAAAAGATGTTTCATGCTTAATATCTAAACTCTAGCTATTTGGGTTTTTTCAAAGAAGATTTTTAAGTTTTTGCTATACACATATAAGGAAAATCAATGACCCCCGGGGCAGGGCCAATTTTGACCCCAGGGCTTTTATCTGAACAAACTTTGTAGACACTTACTAGAAGATGTTTCATGCTTAATATCTAAACTCTAGCTATTTGGGTTTTTTCAAAGAAGATTTTTTAAGTTTTTGCTATACACATATAAGGAAAATCAATGACCCCCTGGGGCGGGGCCAATTTTGACCCCAGGGCTTTTATTTGAACAAACTTGGTAGACACTCATTAGAAGATATTTCATGCTAAAAATCTTAGCTCTAGCTCTTTGGGTTCTTTAACAGAAGAATTTTTAAGTTTTTACTATATGCATATAGGGAAAATCAATTACCCCCTGGGGCGGGGCCAATTTTGACCCCAGGGCTTTTATTTGAACAAACTTGGTAGACACCCATTAGAACATGTTTCATGCTAAATATCTTAGCTCTAGCTCTTTGGGTTCTTTAAAAAAAATTAAGTTTACTATATGCATATAGGGAAAAATCAATGACCCCCTGGGGCAGGGCCAATTTTGACCCCAGGGTTTTTATTTGAACAAACCTGGTAGACACTCTTTAGAAGATGTTTCATGCCAAATATCTAAGCTCTAGCTCTTTGGGTTTTTTAAAAGAAGATATTTAAAGTTTTTTCTTTCTGATGCCATGGCAACAAGAGTTCTGCATGGAATTAAATTCTTTGAACAATTTTTAAAGGTGACCACCAAAGGAACATTCCTGTGAAGTTTGGATGAAATTGGCTTAGTGGTTTATGAGAAGATGTCATTTAAAGTAAAAGTTTACGGACGAAAAGCGATCTGTCACTTTGTGACAGGTGAGCTAAAAAAAAAAGCATACATAATAGAGGATGACCCCAGGTACCCTTCAGTACAGGGACATTCGATCATTGCTAGTAGAGGATGACCCCAGGTACCCTTCAGTACAGGGACATTCCATCATTGCTAGTAGAGGATGACACCTGGTGATCTTCAGTACAGGGACATTCCATCATTACTAATAGAGGATGACATCAGGTACCCTTCAGTACAGGGACATTCCATCATTGCTAGTAGAGGATGACCCCTGGTGATCTTCAGTACAGGGACATTCCATCATTGCTAATAGAGGATGACACCAGGTACCCTTCAGTACAGGGACATTCAATCATGCATAATAGAGGATGACCCCAGCCTTTTCAGTACAGGGACATTCCATCATTGCTATTAGAGGATGACACCAGGTCCCCATCAGTACAGGGACATTCCATCATTGCTAGTAGAGGATGACCCCTGGTGATCTTCAGTACAGGGACATTCCATCATTGCTAGTAGAGGAGATCCCAGGTCCCCATCAGTACAGGGACATTCCATCATTACTAGTAGAGGATGATCCCAGGTGCTCTTCAGTACAGGGACATTCCATCATTGCTAGTAGATGACGATCCCAGGTCCCCATCAGTACAGGGACATTCCATAATTACTAGTAGAGGATGATCCCAGGTGCTCTTCAGTACAGGGACATTCCATCATTACTAGTAGAGGATGACCCCAGGTGCTCTTCAGTACAGGGACATTCCATCATTGCTAGTAGATGACGATCCCAGGTCCCCATCAGTACAGGGACATTCCATCATTACTAGTAGAGGATGACTCTAGGTGCTCTTCAATACAGGGACATTCCATCATTACAAGTAGAGGATGATCCCAGGTATACTTCAGTACAGGGACATTCCATCATTGCTAAAAGAGGATGACCCAAGGTACCCTTCAGTACAGGTACATTCCATCATTGGTAGTAGAGGATGACCCCAGGAGCCCTTCAGTACAGGGACATTCCATCATTGGTAGTAGATGACGATCCCAGGTGCTCTTCAGTACAGGGACATTCCATCATTGCTAGTAGATGACGATCCCAGGTCCCCATCAGTACAGGGACATTCCATCATTACTAGTAGAGGATGACCCCAGGTACCCTTCAGTACAGGGACATTCCATCATTGCTAGTAGAGGATGACCCCAGGTGCTCTTCAGTACAGGGACATTCCATCATTGCTAGTAGAGGATGACCCTAGGTGCTCTTCAGTACAGGGTCATTCAATCATTGCTAGTATAGGATGATCCCAGGTGCTCTTCAGTACAGGGACATTCCATCATTACTAATAGAGGATGACATCAGGTACCCTTCAGTACAGGGACATTCCATCATTGCTAGTAGAGGATGACCCAAGGTACCCTTCAGTACAGGAACATTCCATCATTGGTAGTAGAGGATGACCCCAAGAGCCCTTCATTACAGGGACATTCCATCATTGCTAGTAGATGACGATCCCAGGTGCTCTTCAGTACAGGGACATTACATCATTACTAGTAGAGGATGACCCCAGGTATACTTCAGTACAGGGACATTCCATCATTGCTAGTAGAGGATGACCCAATGTACCCTTCAGTACAGGGACATTCCATCATTGCTAGTAGATGACGATCCCAGGTGCTCTTCAGTACAGGGACATTCCATCATTGCTAGTAGAGGATGATCCCAGGAGCCCTTCAGTACAGGGACATTCCATCATTGCTAGTAGATGACGATCCCAGGTGCTCTTCAGTACAGGGACATTCCATCATTGCTAGTAGAGGATGATCCCAGGTACCCTTCAGTACAGGGACATTCCATCATACATAATAGAGGATGACACCAGTTTCCCTTCACTACAGTGACATTCCATCATACTTTCGGTTTTGTTTGTTTGTTTGTTTGATTTTACGCCTTTTCCCAACAGTATTTAAGAAAGAAAAAAGCATGCATAATAAAGGATGATCCCAGGTGCCCTTCAGTACAGGGACATTCCATCATACATAATACAGGATGACCCCAAGTACCCTTCAGTACAGGGAAATTCCATCATACAATGTACATAGTAGAGGATGACCCTAGCTACCCTTCAGTACAGGGACATTCCATCATTGCTAGTAAAGGATAACGCCAGGTACCCTTAAATACAGTGAAATTCCATCATACATAAAAGAGGAAGACACCAGGTACCCTTCAGTACAGTGACATACCATCATACATAATAGAGGATGACCCAAGGTACCCTTCAGTACAGGGTCATTCCATCATGGCTAGTAGATGAAGATCCCAGGTGCTCTTCAGTACAGGGACATTCCATCATACATAATAGAGGATGACCCCAGGTACCCTTCAGTACAAGGGACATTCCATCATTGCTAGTAGAGGATGATCCTAGTTGCCATTCAGTACAGGGACATTCCATCAAACATGATAGAGGATGACCCAGGTACCCTTCAGTATGGGGACATTCCATCATTGCTAGTAGAGGATGATCCTAGTTGCCATTCAGTACAGGGACATTCCATCATTGCTAGTAGAGGATGACCCAAGGTACCCTTCACTACAGTGACATTCCATCATGCATAATAGAGGATGACCCCAGATATACTTCAGTACAGGGACATTCCATCATTGCTAGTAGAGGATGACCCAAGGTACCCTTCACTACAGTGACATTCCATCATGCATAATAGAGGATGACCCCAGATATACTTCAGTACAGGGACATTCCATCATGCATAATAGAGGATGACACCAGGTACCCTTCAGTACGGGGACATTCCATCATTGCTATTAGAGGATGACACCAGTACCATTCAGTACGGGGACATTCCATCATACATAATAAGAGGATGACCCCAGGTACCCTTTAGTACAGGGACATTCCATCATACATAATAGAGGATGACCCCAGGTACCCTTCAGTACAGGGACATTCCATCATTGCTAGTAGAGGATGATCCTAGTTGCCATTCAGTACAGGGACATTCCAACATTGCTAGTAGAGGATGACACCAGGTACCATTCAGTACGGGGACATTCCATCATACATAATAAGAGGATGACCCCAGGTACCCTTTAGTACAGGGACATTCCATCATACATAATAGAGGATGACCCCAGGTACCCTTCAGTACAGGGACATTCCATCATTGCTAGTAGAGGATGATCCTAGTTGCCATTCAGTACAGGGACATTCCATCATTGCTAGTGGAGGATGACACCAGGTACCATTCAGTACGGAGACATTCCATCATACATAATAAGAGGATGACCCCAGGTACCCTTTAGTACAGGGACATTCCATCATAAATAATAGAGGATGACCCCAGGTACCCTTCAGTACAGGGACATTCCATCATTGCTAGTAGAGGATGGCCCAAGGTACCCTTCAGTACAGTGACAATCCATCATACATTATGGAGGATGACACCAGGTACCCATCAGTACGGGACATTCCATCAATGCTAGTAGAGGATGATCCCAGGTGCCCTTCAGTACAGGGACATTCCATCATTGCTATTAGAGGATGACCCCAGGTACCTCTCAGTACATGGACATTCCATCAATTTGCAAGAAATCCTTTAAAGTGTGAAATAATATATTGAGCGTACAGTACATTGTACACATGTATATTTGCATCTGTTCAGGGACGTAATTTTTTTGTAATTGATCATAAACACTTTCCACCGTCAATTATTGGTCAGTCATTATAATAGTCAATCTTTTTAATCTTTTTACCAATTCAAATTACCTGAACATTTCAAAAAAGCAGGATTTCACAGAGAAAATAACTTGAAAATGATCACACGGATATTATTTAACTTCTGTTAATTTAATTCACTCAAGAAACGCCATGGCAATATTTCAGCTCAAGATGTTAAGGAATACATGAGGTGCTATTCACCACATTATTATTATAGTAAACACAGGGCATATTCTTAAAACCACTTGTCTTTCATACATCACAGTAATTTGTAGTTGATCATCTGTATTAACCAACAGTATGATTTTATTCTATACATATGGTATAGGATAGGGAACAGAAAAGAGAACACAGATATACATTCACCTTTTTAAATACTTTTTTTCGACTCTGATCACAATATAGCACAAGTTGCAACATCAACAGTTCAATTACAACAGCACTAAATGCAAGACAACAACTTTATCTGTAGGCAAAATAATAATAATTACAACCAAATAAAAATACTTGTTATAATGATGTGGTAAGTTATGTACACCTGCTCATAGATTAGACATTAATATTAATATACTGGCTCTAGTGTTCACCATCACCATAGAAACTGGAGCTTTATCTAATTAATCATATTCACAAAAATAAACCTAAAAAATCATACAAGAAAATACAGGTCTTGATCAGGTTTCTTTCCTTTTTTATGTTTCCTTCCGAGTATCAATCACCATAATCCATTATAACGAACATTAAAATATGCTCCCACACTCTTATGATGATGGTGAACTCAAAATACATTTGTATTCTGTTTACAATAGTTTTTATCCGATAGTTAAACATCAATGAGATTCTAAGGTCTGTTTATTGTATCATATATTTTTAAGTCCATGTGAAATCTTGGTAATAGACACCAAACTTTCTGTACTGTAAGTCTCTCCAGATAAAATCATATAATATTTATATGTACATCTACATCTTTATAGTGAAGCATTACAATACGACTGGACACAAAAAAATACTCGACTACGCAACATATTCAAATATTGAAAACTGAAAGACAATGCAAGTTACATATATTTACGATAATAAGAATTTATGGCAATACCAGAATGAGGCTCGTATGTCCATCGAGATAAAACACACATTCTGTAATAAAACCTTGTTCTTTTACAGCCTTACAGAAATATACAGCTAAATTATACACACAAGTCCAAAAGATAATATACAGCAATTCTGACAGATATGAATGTTCTGATGGAGAGATTTAAGTTGAAACTAGTTTTGAGTATGTGGGATATTTCCCTTATTAACAATTAATTAAAGTGCATATTTAAACTACCTTTTGTTAGGAGAAATGATCTATGTAATGTGATTTGTTTTTTACAGATAATTTGTATTGGCATGTATATGTTAATGATATTCATTAAATAAAAAGCCAGACTGGTATCGTAATAATATAAAATCTTTCTAATGAATAGTGACAATGCTTTACATATATATGGTGTATTCATTTAAAAAAAATATTCTAATTTAATCTTAAAGGGACTCCACTGAGGTTCTTTGACATAATGGGACTGAAAATGTTTTTTTCCAGATAAATGTACCATTTGTTGTACATTTAAACCACTAATCTTTGTACAAAATTTCATTTGCGCACTTCGTTATTCCAGAATAGTTATTCAAATTGTAAAAAATGACCCAGAATGAAAAGCCTTTATATTTCTTACTATCTTTGCATATATTTCTGTTTAAAGTGCCCCAGCTCATTTATGTAAGAAATTCAAATGTTATGTTTTTAGGCTTTTAAACCTTAGGGGAGTCCTTTAACTTGACCAATGAAGAATAGTAAACAATGTTTTTTACGGACATCCTTTATTCCAGTTACTGGTAAGAAACACCCCGAACTTTTACACAAAATGAATTTCTTATGACAAGTCATACAACAAGTGATGTCATCAATGACATCATATAATTTGAACCATTTGATTTTGACCTGTTCTTGGAAATAAAAGCCAGTTATATGAATTCCTTTTGAGGACCAAGCTTGCAGATGAATGTCAGTAATTAAGAAATAGGAAGATATAAAGGTACTGAAGATATATAGAATGATGAAGACATTTAGTATCAAGTTTTCCAGAGAATTTTAACCAGTCCAACTTATTATTGGATGACTATCATCTTTATCATCTACAAACCAGCAACACTACTTGATTTGTTACAGCCAGTTACATAACTGGAAAGTTCTTCATTTGATAAATAACTAAATGGTTTTCATTTTAATTGGACACAAATCTGATAAAAAATTTCATAAATATGATGCCAACATATTCAATTATTCTAGTATTTAAATGGTAGCAAACAGTGTTGTGTAAATAATTTAACAATCTGTACTCTTGAAAAATGAAATAAATACAAAGACTTTCACAACTAAATCCTTTCATGAAATAAATAACAATGGCTCAATAAACAACTTTGGCAATAACATTATCTCTATTTCATCAAAGCTGACATCAAATGTTCTAATATTAACACATACATGTGTGTACTAATTTTAACACACATCCTAATATTAGTAACATATGCCCTAATATTAACACATATGTCCTTATTTCAACACAAATGTTTTGATAATAACATATGTCCATATATAAACACATGTCCCAATTTTAACACATATGTCCCAATTTTAACACACATATCCCAATTTTAACACACATGTCTTAGTATTAAAACACATATCCCAATTTTAACACACATATGTCTTAATATTAAAACACATATCCCAATTTAAACACAAATGTCCTAATATTAACACATGTCCTTATATTAACACAGTGATAAAAAGATAATTACAACCACTGGATACTCGACTCACTGATTCATAACATCGCTATAGTTACAATGTCACAATCCAGACACATGGGGAGGGGGCTCCATAATAAAACGTTGAAAACATTATGGGCAGGTACTCATGATCACAACAAAAACTAGCGAGAAAAAATTAAACACTTGATATACAGAGAAATGATAATTTAGCTGATAACATATATGTCATAAAGACATTTTTTTGGGAAAGTACTATACATTATATGCTGAAATAATGAAGCTGGGGGATGAGAATTATGCAAGCAATAAATAATGTAACAATATATAATACACAAAATTATAATAATACGGGACTAGAAACTGTTCCTTTTCTTATATACACATTAACAAAATATGTCTCACATCTTAACAACAATATTCATATCTCATCAGAGACACAATATTTATATATAAACACAAAGTCCAATATTTAATAAAATATTCAAATGTTCTTAAACAAAACAATAGGGGAAAAAATCAGTAGGCAAACTTCACTACAGATTGGCAATGACTTGTTTTTTTACTACAAGTAAGATCAACATTATTTAAGCTTATAACCTTGTTTCAAAATCATGTTACACAGTAATTGTCAGTAATAAATAACCAATTTTAGCAGTCAAAGAAAACTGTAAGAGTACACAGTTTAAAATAATCAGGGCATCCAGCTGTCGAGGAGCATATCATCTCCCAATTGTAATATAAATGTAAAACAAATTTTATTCAGGTAAAATACAGAATAATTAACATATCTTAATTAACGTTGCTTCAATTTTATGTGTTCAATGGACTTGCATTGCTTTCATTTTGGAATGTCCACTCTTGAATAAAGGGAATTCCATCTAAAATACTAGTATTCAAGATGGCACAGTGGCACAGACAAATAATTATCTCTGTAAAAAATCAAGGAGTAAAACTAAATGAAGTTATTTCATTACAGATACAATGAAGATGTATTAAAAGCAGATCTCTAAATTATGTAAGTTTTAAAGATAACTTCAAAAATACTGAAGTTTACCTATATGAATATAAAGCTAAAGTCTTTTTTATAACTAATAAGATGATGTGTTCTGTGTAACAACATATAATTCATAAATCAAACACATCAATAATATCTAACATTATCACAACTTATGTTCCAGTAAAACTTTTTTTAACGTAACGGTTTTTTGTTGTTGTTAAATCCAGTGTATGAAGAATTTTGTTATCTTGAACCAAGATTCAAGTCAGTTTAGACTGTTCTTTGAACCAAGATTCAACTAATCTAGGCTGTCAATCTTTTTCTTACTGTCCTTCCGCTTGAAACTACCAGCCCTGTTTTTACTAGAAACATTATTAGCAGATCCATGTCTGATCCGAGCACCATTAGCTCCGGACCCGTTCTTGTCATTATCTTTGTCTGTAGGGGAGTGCATGCTGCCCACACTGAGGCTAGACATGGAGCTTGAAAGGTTGAGATTTGAAGAAATTCCCAGTGAACTTGGGTACGGGTTAAGAATGTCAAGGTCGTCACCAGGGAGACAAGTCTCTACCATCATGGCCTCTAAACAGTTCACAAACAATTCTGCTGTGTCACTGCTCTGTGGTGACTGAAAGACAATAATTACCAATATTTACTTAGTTAAGAAATCAAAGTATAGAAATACCAGCTAAAAGTTGTGTTTATTGTCTGACACTTCTAACTAAGCAGAGACTGTTTGGTATACAACTTTACTGATAAAGAAAAATTCTATTTATTTTGTAACATTTCCAGCTAAGCAGATACTGTAAGGGTCAAATAGTAGGTATACAACTTTACGTATTGATTGAGAGAGCTTTTTACTATGTATAAAGCGTGACTAATCAAGAATTTTTACCTTTGTAAATGTTCCAGCAAATCTCCACAGTCCACCAAATCCTATACCTGCAAAGTAAGAAAAACATAAACTTAATATAACGATTTGTGTCTCAAATGCTTGACACTCTTTCACCGACTAATTCACAACCCAAGAATGGCTACAGTCAAATTATACAAACAGTTAAGAAAAGCCAATTACCAAAATGTCTGTCACAGGCGGTTTGAAACTTTGATTTGAGCATTTGTATAATTTGACATTTGTAAGCTTATAACTATAAAAAAGAAATACTAATTATACCAAAGTAACATTTTATTATACCAAATCAAGATAAAGTACACCAAAGAAACAATAACTTTGCCACAAAGACACATTAATTTTTTCAAAGAAACATTTAATATACCAAAGATTAACATTAACTATGTCAAAGAAACAAACTATGCCAAAGAATCATTAACTTGCCAAAGAAACATTGTCTATGCCAAAGAAACATTAACTATGCAAAAGAAACATAAACTATGCCAAAGAATCATTAACTTGCCAAAGAAACATAATTACATTAATGATTTATCACACATTTTACATTATGGAATGCGATGAAAAAGATGTACCTGCATTGTATAAAAGTTGACCTAAAATATCAGGTTAACAGTAAAATGAACATGGGCATTATAAGATATTAGATAAAAACTGCCTAACACTTCATATATACTCTTATCTATTTTAAACTTCACAAAATGTATGAAACAAAAACAATTTTTAGCATTCTTCCATATATATGAAAAATGTGAAAATAATGATTTAATTATAAAGAAACCTGTTTATAAGCAATTTATCTGAAAAAGAAAAGCAATAATGTAAAAGTGAAGGACATTGTTTAAATTTAATTTTATTTCTATAAAATCATGAATTCTGATGCATACATGCAATGCTCATCATTTGAAACATACTGGTAACCTTAATTCAATACAGCATCTGAATATGAGAAAATGTGATATGATGACTTTGTGGCATGATTATTCTACATTTAGATATGATATATAACATGTGACATGAGGTTATAAGATGTGACATGACAATTTTATCATTTGATGTGAAATGATTATTTAATTATTAGATGTGATATCATTATTCCATTACTAGAAAATGACCTGATACTTTCATCAGTGGATGTGACATGATTATTCAATTACTAGATGGGACATGACTATTCCATTATTAAATGTGACATGATTTTCCTATTTTTAGAAAAAGCAGTTTCCTGTACTGGTTGGAGAGATAACTCCGACACTAAATCACATATTTTTTGCAATATATAAATTATCTTCCAGTATATTTTAAATATTGAACAACCTAAACAAAGTTCAGTTCAAAAACTTTACATTACACTACGAAAATTATGTATGAAAATGGAATCTGGTACTTCTTTAAGGTCTTGAATGAGGTATACAAAACATGGTCTTTTTACCCCACAACAGTAGATAAAGTCGACACTTAAATGTTCAATTAAAAAATTACTGGAAAATCAGCACCAATAATTAATTTTTACATCTTATATGGTTTATCTATTTTTTGTTAATATTTAAACAATTTTTCAAAAATCTTGCCCAAGTCAGTGGCCTGTGGTCAATACATTTCTAACTACCTTATTGTAATTTAGTAAAAAGAACGTTTTGAAGCAGTTTTTGCCTACAAAATGTTTAGGTTATTTAAAAAACATTAAAAAGTTTACCAAATTATAACAAATCATCACATTCTGTCCTGTTCCTATACTATTAGATGATCATGTGCTTGTTTGTTGAAAAACAAAGCTAAAACAATTATATTTATCAAGTGTCGGGGTTATCTATGCGTCGGAGTTATCTCTCTGACCAGTAATATCATAAAGATCATTGAGGTACATATGCATTATATTACAATACCCCACGGTCCCCACCCCTTTTATTGTTACTATTCATAAAAAAAACCTGACACAGGTAAAATACTGAACTTGTTGCACTAAAACTCAAATATAACCTGAGTTTATAAATATATATATACATTTTGTATATATATATTTCTAATGCATAAGAGACACGCATAACTTGAATTGAAAACTTCAGATAAAGTTAAGCAACATTATAAGACATGCACTTTGTTCTTATTTTGAGATGCTGTTGTACAGAAATTCAGCAAGCAAATTTAACATTCACATCACATAATTATAGAAATTGATGCTGAAATATATATATATATGCTGTATAAATGGTGCAATAATAACTAGAAAGCATTTGAGAAAGGCTTACAAGATATTGCATCAAACTAATAATTATAAATGTGGTATAATTATGCAGAATTTTCTGTGATTTGGTCAAGCTAACTGATATAAAATCAATTGCCCCTTATGGTTTTTGGCTGGATCTGCATCAACATTCTTTTATTTGAAGAGACCATCCAGCTAGCTTAAAGAAAGTTGCCACCTACTTGTGTTTGAAATGATTCATGGTGGGTCATCTGAGGTCATCATCAACAAATAGAATGTAAAATCATTAGATGTCATATCAATGTTGATGTGACCAAACCTATACTTAAACTTCATTAAATATTGTACAAAAGTTCAGGGGATGATTTTTAAAGACTTTTTTTTCTATTTTTAGCTCTAGTGGCTATTTAGTTTATATGTTTGGTGGACTCACAGACATTAATTACAAGGTATTAGAAACTCCCAGTTAACCATGTATAACCATGGACAGATGATTATAATGTAAAAGAGTTAAAGAGCTGATAAGGGACAAGAGGTTTTAATTAGAGTAGATTTAATAAAGGATATACCCTAGTTGCAATCTGACCAGCAGACATTGAAGAATACATCAGGTTCAAATTTGATCAGACATTGAAGAATACATCAGGTTCAAATTTGATCAGACATTGAAGAATTACATCAGGTTCAAATTTGATCAGACATTGAAGAATGAAACCAGGTTCAAATTTGATCAGACATTGATAATTACACCAGGTTCAAATTTGATCAGACATTGAAGATTAAATCAGGTTCAAATTTGATCAGACATTGAAAATGAAACTAGGTTCAAATTTGATCAGACATTGAAGATGAAATAAATGCATTAGAGAATCTGCTTACAGATATGATAGCTTGTCATTAGTATATAAATGACAAAACATCCACTGGCAAATATATGTATAATACATGATGTAATATATGAGAATAGACAACTCGCCAGATATAAGAGAAAGATTTTGAGCAGAAACATTTAGGCAAACATAGAGTTCAACATAGAGACATATACTTGAGTAGAGGTAGAGATACACAATAAAACACTTAAATTGTTCTAACGAAAATGTATAAAACATAAATACATGACTGACTAGAAGTCTACAGGTACATTCATAAAACATGTGACACAGTAGTCAATATTGAATAAACAAGGGCAAGTCTACATGCCCCCCATCCCTTATAGTGGGGGCACAAAAAGTTCAAACCCAAACAAGACGAAAACAGACCTTTTATGTATGACACGCCAATATTAGATTGGACAAGTCCATTTATAAGATCATAGGTTTACTCAAGTCCTTATTACTGCTTCATCAAGATTAAAATAAACTTTATACAAATTGTCTATACATGCATAGTTTAAATATATAAAATTTGTCACACTGTTTCAGTGATTAAACAAAAGCCAAAACGTGCTTATTATCACTCAACTAAGAAAATCGAAAGTTCTCAAGAACAAAGCTATTTTGGTCTCCAGACTTAAATAACTTCTGTCTGGACATTGCTACATCTAACATTTGAGACATTTAGTTTCATAGGGTAAACATTTTTTTAAAAATCTTTTCACATGTAGGTATATAACAGAAGTTACCCTTGGGACGGGCCATTGGTGATCCAATGGTATTATTTATGTAATTGTTGAATCTCACTTAAATGCTAAATACTATAAGTTTGGAATTCTATCTGTATCAGGAGAATATTTATAATAGTTATCATCCTATAAAATGTTATATGAATGTAATCTCCTAAGTGGAGACACTTTTGACCTCAAAAGAACCAGGCAATGCAGCATGCCAAATACCACACAACATGGTCATGCAGTTTCTGAATTTCTGAAAAAAGAAGACTTACAAAACATTTTGATTCTCATTAACTAAAAGTGCTACATCAAGGGCCGAGCCAGTTTTTGACACGAGTATATATAACTTATTGCTACATGCTTATAGGTTATTTTGTTCCAGACAAGAACATTCAAATATTTTTTATGTAGTGACTGAACAGTGAACAGTGCAGACCATGAGCTGAGACAGATGTTAGGAACATGCGTACATTATCTTGGTCTGCACTGGTCACATGGGTAGATTTTGTAGCCGCCAAAGCAGCCTTGACAAATGATTTCTAAAATAAAATTTGCATATCAAGTAAGACTTTCACATTAAACTGAGGAGTTTGATTTAAACCCACAAATATTTACACAGATTCCCTAAATACATTCACTACAATAAATTGACTAGTATGGTTACAATGTAGGAGTGGTCTCTGATTGCAAGCTGCTTGGTACCAAATATTTGTGCAATATTAGAAATGATTGACTCAATATGAGACATATAATACAGTTAAGATATTACAGGATACCATCGCACAAACCAACTTTCATATGCAATCTGTAAATAGTTTGTCAATCAAATGCCTGACATTAAGGAAACAACAAGATTGAATTGCATTATACTATAGGAAATACAATGCAATGCTACTTGGTATGGCAAAGGTAAAGAAGGTATGTAACCCGAGATTTCACTCTGCAAATGTAAAATTACAAGTTAAAGTTAACATCAAATGTCAGGATTATATTGTTAGAATGTCATAATTTTCTACACAAGATGCAATAATTTCTGGTTAGTGACAGTACAATATATATAACACAACACTGTGTACATGAATCTGATAACATTAAGGTAGTTCTGTATATCAACAGTAAATCTTATTTTAAGGTACTTTCTCTTTCAAAACATTTATATAATATAAATCATAAAAGAACGAGTGTCCAGAACAATATCCAGAAAATATGTAGTATGTTAAAACATTTGATAATTCTAGTCAGACAATTCTGATATCACCCAAATTGATAATAAACTGGTCCAAAAATCTGGACAAATCCATTTATGAAAATCTAACAGGTTAAGGGATAGAATGTTCGCTGTTTTGTATTTTTGTACTGTAAAGAGATGACAAATGGTCAATATACAGGACTACCTTAATAATAAACAACAGAGAGCATGCTATACAATGATGTATGTGTGATAGAGAGAGAGTGGGAGAGATAGATAGAGAGTGTAACACTAGGGGTTTAAGGAATAGCTGTTGCATGTTGTAGACATTATTATCTTGACAGGACACTGACATGTTATAATGTACTGATCATGATAATTCATTATCTCTCATAAAAATGATTAACCTGAAAACATAAATCTTTCATCAAAATATAAAGCTTGTCGTTAAACTTTTGTTTAACTTTTTGAGCGTGTTAGTGGCCAGAATGTCCTCTATATGCTACAAGTACATGTATAGAGATCTATGTTAAGCTATGTACCGACTTTTGTTCAGCTTTTTATTGAAAATAACAATAGAAAATTCTGACTGAAAATTGTTCAAAACCAATATACAAATTTAGCTGTGAAAAAATGAACAGTTCTTTCTTGGAGCATGAAAAAGGTGTCAAAATATTTTTTGTTTGCTTGCCTTAGAAAGATAACACTCTTATTTCATAAAGTACATGATTACATATATGTTTGGAAGTACATGTACAATTCTAATAAAGTATAAAGCTGTGTTTGTTTTTCAAAGCAATAAAAAGTTTGAAGGCTTGGTAAATTACAGAAACCTCTGTTGACAAATATAGTAATTATTATTTTCATATGTAACTTTCCATGGCAACAAGTAGAACTTTGTTACTTGTTAACAACCTTCGCAAATAAATGCCATGGCAGAAATAATTTTAAAGACACTGCATTTTTTTAAACTTTTTTTTCCTGTCTTATTTCACCTTTTGCTCAGAGTTATGACAAAAAAAACATTGCTTTTTGAAGATTTCCTTTTTTTTGTATTTATTAAAAAAATGGTAAAAAGTAGAGCATTATTCAAGCAATTATAATTTGATGTACAAATGGATGCAAAACAGCATGATCAATACATTATTACATATACTTAAGTTACTTTAAAAAGCTCTGCTGTTATCACAAAATGCGTCAAGATTTTCATAATAAACATTTTCAAGACTGTATCATTTTTTCTTGTTAAAACATTTTTTTATGCGGTTAAAACTCGATTACATCAATGCTGACTTAAAAATAATTAGATTTGTTCATATATAATTAAGATTAGATTTGCTTGTTTGTTGTATTAGATTTGTGTATAAATGGAGTCCTTACCCCTAGAGTCACTGTGAACATAGATGGAAGAGCTCTATAAGGTCATGGTCACCATATTCTTCTAGGGGATCACTTGCGGGACTACCTGACAGAAAGTAATGAACTAAGGGGTCAGACAACAGGCACACCATACATTTATGCACACATCCAACTAGTTAAGTATAAAATTAACCCAGGTTATAACAGTTTAGAATAAAATGTAATAATACAATAATTATCATAAGTAAAAACCATATGCATAAAAATAGGTGTTTACTTATTAACATCTATGAATATACTCCAGTCTGTACTTTTATCTATACTTAAGGATGAATTAAATCATAATTTCCTTTCTTTTTCCCTTTTTATTTAATGCTTTCAGTGTCAAATATTGTTTTGTTCAATGCTTATAGTCAATTGAAATGTATAAAATGATTCATGCATTTCTCATGGTAAAAAAAAGTTATTTAAACATATTTTGACAGACAAAACAAACATTACAAATTTTTTGCTTACAGAAATAGTACACATACATTGTATTTTATCAAAGTTCAGAAAGCTACCAGCAATACATGTACCAGATCTATTAGATTTGAAGCTGTTTGATCTGGTATACTAAACAAACTCAGGTTCCCAACATAACAAGATTTTTAAATTTCTTTCTAAAGCTGATACATGATAAAGTAATGATCTTTAATGTTTTTACCATATCAAAACTTAATGCGGGACTTTTCATAAAAGTAACAGATATATATGTGTACAGAACCAAGTATGTAACTGTACCTAGTGAAGCCGCTTATACAGTTTTAAAATCCACATGAAAAGAATATATCAAAACAGAGTTAAGGATAATTCTAATGCCATCTTAACAGTAAACATGTTCCCATGTCTGACATCAAATTATAATATCTGACTTCCCATAAAATTACAATACTTAAATGTTTAGCTGATAAGACATGTGTGTACAATAATAATTATTCTCCAGTGGACCTACAGACTTAAGTTGTGCGATCTTTCCACAATACCAGAACTTTTTGAAAGTCTAACAACCTTTTATATATTTCATTTGAGCAGAAAAATTCAGGCTATGTACAAGGACAAACGAAAATCTTAAACAAATAGGTTTTTTTCTGTCTTTCTTTCAAGTTTTTTGACTAAAAGTGTACCTGTAAAAACCCTCTCCCACCCTTCTGCCCCAGAAACAAAATCAATGTATTAATATCAAAATCATACAATACCAAAAAACTACTAGAAAAAAATCAGACAAGAAATAAGAAAAAAAAAGAAAAAACAATTTTATCTACCACACAATATTCATACATGTTACTGGTAAAGTAAATCAAACCTGTTTTTATGAAAAAAGGAAACAAGTTAGAATGTCTAGTACTAGGATGATTCATAAACTAGTTATTGTGTTTGTAGGAAAATGCTACAGAGTTACAGGGGCACAGATTTTGTACTCTTTAAAATATTCTTCAAAAACTTCTGTAAAATAGTCTACATCCGATGAAGCTCTAAAGGTAAAATGTAGTTATAAAATAAAATGCCTATTTAATATTTTTTGTGTAATATTACAATTAACAAATCATTTCTGTCTTTAATCAAAATTTAAAAATGAAACATGAAATAGATTAATTTCAATATATACATCTATATGTATATGCCTTGCAAACCATGCTGAATTCTTAAATAATTTTAATAAATGTTCAGAAAGAGCAATTAAATTTTCATCACAATTTCCCATACTACTGGTATACTTCTATCTCTTTTTATTTCTTATATTTCACATTATATCAATGTGATGAACTAATAATGTCTATCAAGTCATGAACAATATCAACGAAAAATGAAATCTTAGTATTTAACGTCGCTGATTAAATAACACACAATATAGTGATAAATGATTACACAATAAGCATACATACACACAAAATACTGTCATATGTATGTTTTATTGTGTAGACATAGAGACCGGACAACATGGACGATATATAAATGTATGGTGTGATGAGATAAAAATGTAGACTTACTCATGAGATAAGAGAGTTGTTGTTGTGAGGCATCCTCACATGCGATCATATTCTGTATAATACATTGTACTGCATTCAGGATAGCCTGATCATGACATAGGTTCAACACATTGTTGATCTTCGCATCCATTAAACTATGACTGTAAATAGAACAAGAAGAATACATTCCAGTATCTTATCTCATATTTTCTTTCTTTTTTGTTGGGTTTTATATCGTACCAACACAGTAGAGGTCATATGGCAACTTTCCAGCTTAACTTGTGGAGGACAACCTAAGGTGCCCCTCTGTACATCATTTCAGGCACAAAGGGGCACCCGAGTAAGAAAAACATTTTTTTTTGTATATGCAAATGAACATTATACTTACATAGAACTTGATTTCTGACCTATGGTGTGCTAAGGAGAAGTCAAAATATTCAAGAAATAAATAAACTTGTTAAGAGTGTGAAACTGCTGTACATAATGTCTAAAACTCCATATTCAATTCACTATTCTAAGACTCCCCTGCAAAAAATATAAAGTGCGAATGAAGAAAGAGTATATAAAAATGTAAACTTACATGACAGGGAACACTTTAGGGAAGACAACGGAGGCCTCAGCCAAGTACTCGTACAATATCCGTGCCTCATTCTCGTCTGTTGTGTTTCTTACAAGAGTTGCCTGAAATCATGAACATAAACCATACAAATCATTACAAACAAACTAACGAGAATCAAATATACCCTGAAAATTACACTTTTACCCCTTGCTACAAATCCATCACTTGCTTAACAAAGTTAATTCATTTAAACTGAAAAAAAATAATTTCACTTCATAAAAGCAGACAGAATATCCTCCATTTATGAATATATTTTTCACTCTGTGAGATCAATTAGGAAAATGATCAGTAACTTGTATAAATGTATACATAATTTATAAATGAGACTCACCAGTACAGTCAATACAAGCACTTGTGTAGGATAATCTGTAAGCACCTCCGGATCCAGTAATATATTGTTCTCATTAGAGACAGATCCACGTACAGGACGACTCTGAGATTTCCCACTGTCCATTTTCTTTGTACCTGGAACAGGCATGGAGCTGCTCCGTGTCTTGAACAGAGGTGGTCTACTTGGTAAAACAGCACCAGCACCCGTGCCAGCTGCAGCATTGGTCTCGTTGTCCAAACTTCGCCATACCTTAGCACTGTTACTTTGCTGTTATAAATACAATATATTCCTATCAAAAAGGTTTTTTATATCCATATATATATTCAAAAAGAATAAAATGTATGTTCCACCAAAATAATTCTTCAAAATAAATTATATATGAATGTTATTATGCCAATCATGAAGCTTTGGGCCTATTCTATTTCCTTCAAAGGTCAAAAAAAAGTTTTTATCAAATAAAATAATGCATTGAATTTTCTAACATTGATAAGCTCGCACCCCTCTAATGAAATCATTATATATCAATTAATAAGAGTAACTACATACTGCAACATTTGCAGCTGCATTTTGTATTTGGTGAGGAACAGATGTTGCTTTTTTGGCCGCTGTCATTGCCTGTTGGTCCAAGAGTTCCCATGATTTCTGTCTGATAGGACCTCCACTAGATGGTGGTGACTGGGACTGACTACCAGCTGTTGATGCTGGGGTTGTAGGTGTAGGGGTTGTGGGTACCGGCGTTTGTGGGGCAGCTGGGGATGCCGGAGTTGGCGGTGGTGTGGCTGCAACACTGGTACTGGAGCCAGAGGAGGCTGAAGCGGCTGTAGACACGGAACTTGAACTATGTGCCTGGGATATACTTGTAGCAGATGACATGGTTCCGTTACTGGTTGTTGATACAGATACATTTGATGGGGCTCCAGTCATACCTGCAAATATATCTATCAATATCAAACATAACTTTAAAAAAAAATCTACGATTTCTAAGAGAAAGATCATTAATTTTAATTTATATTTTCTGCAACTAGACACTTCACTTCTATGAAAATCAGTTTATATATTTCATACTTAACAATAATGTACAGATCTTCGTGTTATGTGAAGAATGGCTAAGAAACATACCCTGGTTAGCAGTGTTTGACACAGTCTGGGACATCTCAGCACTAAGACTGTCACTGGAGGGCGAGTCTGTCATCATATACTGACTAGTTCTGTGTTTTAAGTGACATCGACTCCTCACCTCCTCAGATACCGACACTAAAGCCGCTAGGTATGGCACCGTCTGTGGATTTACTTCAAACTTATCCCTGAGATAAAAATTCAAACCACAATGTTAAGATCTACTTGTTGAAAGTTCTAAGAAAGTCAGAAGTTCTCCTAACTTTTAAACTTTATAAAACTTCTACACCATACAATGTACATGTAGTTTAGAAATAACATCAATGATAAATTCACTGTTCCTAAAGTAATAAAATTGTTTCCCCTTTTTACATTATAGTGCAACAATATAAGTTAAACTTAATACATACATAGATACATATGCAGACTCAGTGACTCACCTTCCTAATGGTTTACTAGTGATGGCCAATAAATGATGTAGAACACGTATGGTACGAGATACAGTTGTCTGGATAGGATGTCGGAATCCTTAAAGTATTAAACAATAAACCAATAAAATCAAACAATTTGTTAACAATTAGTAATGCACTAGTCAAATGTAACCATAGCCCCACCACCCTGTGGAAAAGCAAGGACTCTGACTTATTGATTTTAAACCCCTAGTAAAGTAACTGCCCTCTACAGACAGATGGCAAAAAAATCCTCTTAAAGCCAAGCATTGCAAACTAAGCCCCAAATGACAGACACACCATTCATGACTCATTTCTTCCAACCTTACCCAAGGCAAGTAGACATAGTTTTAATTGACTAGTGCATAAATAACAGATAATTTCCGCAAATAATCCATCTTCAAAGATAACACTAAATAAATCAACTATTAAAGTCACATGATGAATAATGCATCATTGGAGACAAACAGTAAAGATTTACAATCAAATTTTTTCAGTAAACAATCAATTTCAAACAAGAAGCGACCAAAATAAAAGGGAAACAAAAAATCAAGCATAAGACAATTAACAATTAGCAATTCAAAATAAATATAAAATTTATGATTAAAGTACTAATAACACAACTATCATGACTTTAAAAGATATTTAAAGTTTAAATTGTGAATACTAGGATTAAAGACAAACCTTTTAACAGATGTCCAACAAGAGCAAAGTTAAAGTTGGCCTTAAAACTGAGCCCCATGGCATGGTCAAGTTGTTTAAAATGCCATTGTAGTGGATCCCTTGTCTCCATCATGATACGTTCTAATGACTAAAATATGAAAGATACCATAAACATTAACATGATTTTTATCTATAAACTTTAAAATTTTTGTAGAATGATATTATAATAATATAATATTTGTTGTTTTTTTTCCAAATATGCTATGTAAAATTATTTTTTGGGAACAAATTTACTTTTGTTTTATTTTCTTTACCAAAACAAATAAACAATTAAAATGGTGAAAGCATGACTTATGAAGATCCAAACACCTACTATACAGATATATGCACATCATTTTACAATATAATTAGAGGTTATGTAACATTAAACTGTACCATATGGGAATATATTTGTAAGAGTACACAGCTGGAGAAACCATATTGGACAAGCCACCAGGGGAGTCTAATATGATATCTGAAGCTGTATATGAGTCCAAATATATATCAATATATTTAAATGTTTAATAACCTGTTTATTCTTTATCCAAATTAACACAACTTAATATTGCTATGGTTTGACATTATAATGCTCTATGTAAAATTCATTCAGATACTTTTGTCGTTAACAGCTTTAATCATAGACATAAGATGGAAAAGGCCAAATGCCAAAACAGGATAATTATATTGGATGCTACAACATCCAATATTGGAATACATTGTATTGTCACATGGTACAATTTCAAAAGCAGCTATTAGATGTTATTAACTGATATAGAATAAAAAGTTATACATGTATTAAGAAACTTACATCATTTTCTAGGATACCAATATTATCGAGGGTGTGTAAATTCTGCTCTAACAGAGACAGTCCAGCTGCGTACAGGGACACCTCATCTAACTGTAGCACTGATATAGCTACCCAGAACAAAAACTTGTGAATCGGGGAGTCCTGAAGTAAATCATAGAGTTTGCTATATGTTGTAATATAAATATTACATAAAGATTGATGTTTGATTTTAGGTCACACTGGCAGTGTAAAGGTCAGGCAACTTCCCAGCTTTACTGGTGGAGGAAGACCTCAGTTGCAATGTTGTGCATTATTTCAGTCATAAGCAGGCATCCGAGACTATAAACTTTTATAAAATCATAATAATATATCATAACAATATCATATTTTTTTTATTTTTTTTATTCATTATAGTTTAAATAGGTGCGTTCACCTGCTGATGAGATGATAAGATATTAAAATGCACTCTTCTTTGATATGGGTTTAAACAGATCAAATACATAAAAACACATAACTTACAGCTCTTAGCATGGGTTGAAGCCTGGTCAAACACATCACTATAGATTCTATAAGAACCAAATCCTGGAATGACTCTAAAGCCTGAAATATATCACTCAGTGTTATACTCACTTATATCAAATATTACCATTAACTGTAAGATTCTATAAAAAATATATCAAATTTTGATTTTTTTTTTACAGGGCATTTTACTGCTACCTCAATGTAAGACACATTATAAGGAAAATCAATGACCCCCAGAAAAACAATGATCCTCCCCCCCCCCCCCCCCCCTCCAGCAGGGCAGGGGGTTTTTTAAAAGAAGTTATTTTAAGTTTTTACCAATTTTGACCCCAGGGCAGGGCCAATTTTGACCCCCAGGGCTTTTATTTGCCAACAAACTTTGTAAACACTCACTAGAACATGTTTCATGCTTAATATCTAAACTCTAGCTATTTGGTTTTTTTCAAAGAAGATTTTGTAAGATTTTGCTATACATATATAAGGAAAATCAATGACCCCCGGGGCGGAGCCAATTTTGACCCCAGGGCTTTTATTTGAACAAACTTGGTAGACACCCACTAGAACATGTTTCATGCTAAATATCTTAGCTCTAGCTCTTTGAGTTCTTTAAAAGAAGATTTTTTAAGTTTTTACAATATGCATATAGGGAAAATCAATGACCCCCTGGGGCGGGGCCAATTTTGACCCCAGGGCTTTTATTTGAACAAACTTGGTAGACACTCACTAGAACATGTTTCATGCTGAATATCTAGGCTTTTGCTCTTTGGGTTCTTTAAAAGAAGATTTTCTAAGTTTTTACTATATGCATATAGGGAAAATCAATGACCCCCTGGGGCGGGGCCAATTTTGACCCCAGGGATTTTATTTGAACAAACTTGGTAGATACTCACTAGAAGATGTTTCATGCCAAATATCTAAGGTCTAGCTCTTAGGGTTTTTTAAAAGAAGATATTTAAAGTTTTTTCTTTCGGTTGCCATGGCAACCAGAGTTCTGCATGGAATTAAATTCTTTGAACAATTTTTAAAGGTGACCACCAAAGGAACATTCCTGTGAAGTTTGGATGAAATTGGCTTAGTGGTTTATGAGGAGATGTCATTTTAAGTAAAAGTTTACGGACGAACGACGGACGACAGACGGACGGACGACCGACGGACGGACGCCGGACGAAAAGCGATCACAAAAGCTCACCCTGTCACTTTGTGACAGGTGAGCTAAAAATCAAGAAATACAGATTAATTTACCTTCATGAGTATTTTCAACATTTGTTTAATCTCAGAATCTGTGACTGATTTACTTATACATCCAAACACTATGATAGCCCGTGGCTGTAGAGCTGGGTTATACTGGAATGCAAATCTGAAAACAAACACACGCAAATACAACAATTAACAAATAACCAACAAACTAACCAATAGATAGAATAAATAAATAACTTAAACACAATGAAGATTTGTTCTTTACAGTGAAAGACCAAAATATATTTCACTAAGTTAATACCAGATGCAATTTTCTTATAAGTGGCAAAAATAATTTCTTTTTCCCTTATGTGGTAATGGGCCTTTAAAATAATATTTTCAGGCTGACGCTGGCCATTGACTTCTGTTTGTTAAACATTGGGCTGATTGGTCAGTCCCTATAGCACTAGAAGACCCTCAAGGGGACTACTAATATGTCAGTACTGTAAGCATGGAGATTACCTCTTTGATAAATCTGTCCACTGTTGTAGCCAATCACAATTACGTATATCCTTATTACACGCCTGAAATTGACACTGTAAATAATGTGAGGTTATTGTAGTAAATGAATTCCATCAAGAAGTTTTACAACAGCAAACATATTTAATTCTATAAATAACAATGAAAAATTACATGCTTTTACATTACTTTTCAAGGAAATATTCTTAATAATTCAGTTGGCTATGTGAAACTTTTAATTATTGTTAAAAAAAACCCAAACAAACATTTATTTCAATTAGTTGTCCTTACAAAGGTAGCAATTAAAGTAAGTTTTATTGGAAATATAACCTGATATTTTACTTTTAGAATACACTTTAACCAGTAATTTAATATAAGGAGCACCTTTAATATGTAGTATATTTTCTAGTTAATACGTTTATTGTTTTTCCAGAAAATGTCATCAGAAAATGTCACCTATAAAGTTATATAATGTCGAATACTAGATAAGCATTACCTCCATAATCTCTAGTAAAGCATCAACAATGGTTTCTAATGAACACAGGGGCATTTTTTCATGTTCTGGTGGCGACATTGTGAATGATCTGTCTCCAGGCCGGAAACTTGTCCTGAACGCACTCACAGCTGCTGATTTTACCTTGCTGATACCAAACAGCTGGTAAAATTTGGGCAGTGAAAACTCAGCCAGGCTCATCTTCAACACTTTCAGAGTATTTTCTATTGAATACAAATAATTTCTAAGTGATCAAGTGTGGCAGATTTTCAACAAAATACTATTATATTTTTGCTTCAACATTATGTAATTACAATCAAGCTACAACTCTTACTCAATCTGAATGTAATTAACTGTTTTTAATGATTGTGACAATAAGGACTTGCCATCAGTAGCCTGCATATCACTTCAGTGCAACAGGCTGCTTAAATAAACTATTTTCATGTCATTTTCCTCATACAATCAACAATTCAAAATCGAACATTTCACAAATTTAGCACATGGCCTTTTTCTTACATACAGCTTGATACTATTAGACAAGTTTAGACATGGCATTTTAAATTGAATGACAATGAATTTACCTGAGAACTGTAGTTGTGAACACGTGCACAAGGAATGGATGATATTGATGACTAGGCCATGTGTTGATGCACGTAACGACAGTGGCCCCGTGCAAACCAGTAACGTTACTATGTGAAACAGGAATGGCAAATGACTCGCAACTGTAAAACAGAAAATCTTATTCTTACACTTAATTGTCATCTAAATTGTAAATATTGTTAAAATGTAAGACTTTAATGAAGTCAAATTAAAAGATAATAAAAGTGCCAACTCAGGCAGTCACTTTACTTCTAATGGGCCACCAAAATCTTTTGAAATATTTCAAAAACTCGTTGATATTTATATAACTTTACAAAGGAATATATTATGTAAAGTATAATATTCATAGATAAACTACATGAATACATGTGAATGCTCCTATAGTAATATATTATCTTTGTAAAATGTCATTATAGTAATATGTTTCATAAGAAACCATACCATCTAGTGAGTTGTTGAAAGATAACATAAGAAGATATCTGGCCAATATAGCTATATCATCCCACATCAAATGTTGCTCCAACGTCGGGGTAGGTGATGTACATGTCTTGTCTATTAACTGTATAATACACATATGACTGACATTAGTTAGCGCATGATAGTAAAGTAATTAACCCTAAACATGCTGACACTAAATGTGATTAGCCTTTACTACCAGTATAGAGTCAGGTCAGCCTACACATCCAGGCTTAAAACTATTGGCTGATTAACTTTATGCTTTTATCTTGAAATCAACAAAATTGATAATGAACAGTTCAACAAAATGGAAGCTGGACAAGTCCATTTAAGAAATTCAGCTAGTTTAGGATTAAAATGAAACATGTCAATTATTAAACATATCAATCAAATACCAAATAATTTTAACAGTAACAATCAAGCATCTAATTTATATCACTGTGAACAACCTTTAAACATATGCTTATTCCAAACCCAAGGTAATTTTTAAATAGGCAATAAGGAATATATTACCTGAACCAAAAAAACTATATTAAATGGGCTTATGATAACATTTACATTATACTAGAAAAGATATCACAAATATCAAATCATATGACTTAACACTTTAAAAACTACTCAAACGTCTATATTTTCCTATATTTTAGGTCTGTGAAATCTTATAGATGTAAAAATATGCAGCCACCTTTCTTATAGATTTTAACAAACTTCTAAAATCACTTCTAAAATATTACAAAATTTGACAGATTTTATAAATGTAACCATACCCGACATAACCGTCCAATAACTTTCCGTGAGACAAGTTGTACATTGGCTGACGTGAGCGCCACTGCTGTGTCAGCCATGATCTCTGCCTGTATCGAACCCAGCCCTCCTGTCACACTGCGCTTGATGAAACTATCTAGTACCATGTCTAACAGGTCTGCCACTTGACCAATGTTGCCCCAGATCTTAGCTTGTATTGAGGGGTACATCTACAAGTTAATATACATACAGAGTTATATACGATATTAAAGGAACATTCTTGATACATGTACTTCAAAAATTAAGCGAAATTTTTTTTTTAAATCAAATTTACAAGAAAAGAGATGTTTAATTCTAATTTCAGAAAAAAAACCTGCAGTACTATTTTGTAAAATCAGGATAAAAGTTGCACAAACAGAGAGTATAGAACACAATAACACATTTAGTTGTCAAAAGTAGACTAAAATAGAGCAATACTTTAACAATATTTCCAGGGAGTACATACCTCAACTTCTTCTATAGTCATGGTAATAAGTTTGTCTAGTATCAGGGCCACTTTTTGTCTTTTATTCTCATCTGTGTGTCTACAAAACCTATAAAATACAATCAATACATGATAGTTTATAAACTGTGTGTTCTGTATGCAAACAAAATGATACACTACTTAACAATAATTATTTACAAATTTCAAGTTGTTATTTTAAAGGGATACCAGGTGAAGAAATACCAGACTGAATGTACTGTTGCTGAAGTTAAAAGTTTGAAATACCAAAACTTTTAGATCCTTCTTTTTTCTCAACAAATGTTACTTACATAAAATTTAGATCCAAACTTTTATTCAAAATAGAATAAATATCATTAAGACATCTCACATTCAAGTATTATTTTACTCAATGACAGTGACAGGAAAAGACAGCATTACCTGGTAAGATTAGGTAACCATGGTGTGATATACTCTAGACACAAATGTTTGAGCTCTATGTTAGAGTTGCCAAACCCCTGTATACATTCCTCAAGGAACTCTAGGGTCAGATGAGGCTCATTGGCCGCAAGTGTCTCACTTATGGACTTGATAAATATAGTGTTGTTTGCAGGTATACATAAACCTTAAATGTACACATATGTGGATCAATATAATGTTGTTTGCAGGTATACAAAAACCTTAAGTACATGTATACAGGCAATATAAACATATCAGTTGACATAAATGTATGTAAATATAAAGTTAATATATGTTATCAGTTGAAAAATGCAGTCTTATCAGAAGGTATACAGAAACCTTAATTTCACAAGTAGACAAAAGATTTACCAGTATTTTCCTGTTTATAATACTGTTTACAAGAGAAATGCAAAAACAAATAATGAATGTTTTATCATTAACCTAATGAAGAATTTAATTATACAAAGAAGATTTTACTCTTACTTTCTTTAAGATTTTGCCTACTGTTTTAAAGTACAGTTTAAAGAGGTAAGTCTGTACACTTACCTGTAGTTTCCAACAATTGGCCTTCTATCTTCAGGTCAAAGGTTTGAGTGAGAGCGCACAACAGGTTGTAGGCAGCAGATCTAAGACTGGGATCTGAGCTACCAAGGTTGAGAAGTGCTACATTGAGCAAGGTGCCAGGCACATCTTTAGGTCTGATCTTCGTATGAACGGTGACCGTGTCCGGTTGGGACAGTTCCCAGCGTGTACGTATGTGGATAATATCATGTACAATATTGTCACAGTCATTGTGGATGAAAGACAGGGGACCAGTCTCATTGGAAATGGTTAATGTAAACTGGTTATCATCTACCAGACATACCTACAAATACAACAAATGTTCAATTGGTATATAAGTCACATCCACACTGTAAGTCATATGGGGACTCAAGGTTTGCTGGTGTAGGTAGACCTCAGGTGCCCCTCTGTGCACTATTTCAGGCAAAAGTGGGCACATGAGTAGAACCTCAAATATTCTGTAGTTAGCTGAATCTCTTTCTCACAAGAAAGAATTCACTTGCAGGGTTTAAATCCACAGCAATAAGGGAAAACCACTTCACACAATTTATGCCAAAAATTCCTATTCTAAAATTCTCAATTAAATCTGAACCAGTCTACATGTATATGAATTAAAAAACATTCCTGCATCATTTTCATTAAAGTACACCAAGCAAGTGTCAAACCACTACTACTGATTGATATGTTTGCCCATTTACTATATCAAATGATCATTATAAAATAAATCAGAAGTTTGTTTTTTTGTTTTTTTTTGTTTTGTTTTTTCCAGAATTTCCACCAATGGAACAAAAGCTCAATTATTATTTTGGTTTATTTCTAAGACAAAAACAAAGATTAACTAATACATGTAAGTCTTATACCGTACCTCCTCTATTTCTGAGGCATAGTAGACATCATTAAGTAATACTTGGTGTCCCAGCACCTTACTCTTCTCTGCTGATGTTATCTGTATAGCATTTGGTCCAACCTAAAATATAACATCATGTACAATACAGCTACACCTTTAATACAGGAATTAAACACAAATGCTGAGAATAAACACAAATAAATAGTATAAAGATATATACAGAAAATTAACACTTATACTAAGAATAAGCACAAATACAGAGAATAAACACAAAATCCTATGGAGGTAAAAATCAAATCAAACTTCCTCAGATGCACACTTGTTCATTATTTTCTGCATAGTCACACAACTAATTTTACACAAGATAGCTTATGAGCATCCTCACATGTAAGAATTCAACATCCTTGAAGAGGATAAGCACAAAATGTTCAAAGGCCCACAAATTCAGGGTCAACACCTGAGGCCACTAACCTTCCCAAGCTAATTATCTTAACTAAGCATGATTTGATTGTTGTAATGTTTAACAGCACAACAACAGTTTAGGTCATATGGCGCTGAAACAGGTAAGATAACTTTGGCTTACCTCGGTGTTACAAACTTAAAGCAACACTGGGGTCAAAACCACCTTACCTGCTAGGGACTCCAGCAATTTGAACCCATTAAGTGATCTTATGGTTTTCATTGACATGGGGAAACATACACACCAATGTATATGAGGATTATCAGATATTGTTTCTAAGTTTTTTGCCATTAAATTGAAAAAAAATCTCACCTTTATAGTGACTTTGGTATCTTTATGAGAAAGTTTTAGAGCATTATTTGATATTTTGAGATCTTCCTCGAGGGCTACAGTAGATCCAGGTAATTTCTGATGATCTACATCTATATACTCATTTAACCTCGCTGGATGATCTATGAACACAAGCTTTCTGTTACCCTGAAATTCATAAAATACAGGTACATGTATATTCGTAAAATAAACATATCTCTGGTCCACATAAATTCAAAAAGATCAAATTAAAACAAAACTCATATGCATTGAATGTCATTATTCAATTAATCATTATGTCATTAGTTTTTAAGCACATGTATCATAGTGGCAGCATGGCCAAGAAGTTAATGTGTTGGACTAGTAATTTAAGGATCGCTGGTTGTTTGACTTCAAACCCCATAAGGGGCAACCTGTTAATTTCTTGAGCAAGAAACTTTATACTCATTGCTCAGTATTGATTGGTCAAGAGTGTGTCTTTAACATTATAGATTCCTATACAATCAATTTATAAAAAAATTTGTATAAGCTAAATACCATTATAACAAGGTTACATTTAATGAATACATTTACTATAAATAAGACTATTTAACTCTTTAGACTTAAAAAACATTTCAATTGCAATACTTATTCAATCAAATGAAAAAACTTATTTCTATATGAAATTTATAAATCTTAATATGAGTTTTTACCTTTAATGGAGTGAGTATTCTATCATGAAACTTTGTATATTCTCTGACCCAGGAGTTACAGTTATATATATAGGTAGCGACAATATTCTGATATACCACTTCTGGCATCACTACAAACCACTTAGACAAGAAATCAGTCTGTAAAAAAAAATTAAACCTTTCATATAACAATCATATAAAATATAAATACCCCAACATATCGAACAGTTATATTAACTGAACAAACGCATACGGTTAGAATCTGTGTTTATCTAAAAAGAAAATTTTACAATTGTCTCTCCATGCTAATTATTTTGGTAAGCAATTATTTTATTTTATCATAAAAACTGTTTCAGAGTGTTTTGAATGGTTACAGAACGTACTGAATGGTTAAAAGTTTTACCCTAAATCTGTTTTCAGCACATGTATGTGTAAAGTCTATAGCCAGTTCAAATGGTTTGTTGTAATAGGGCTTCAACGTCAACAACACATGGTAAATCAACAAATCACCATTAATCTCACCAACTCTGAAATAATCGATATATGTTTCTTTAATTACAATCATATACATATCTTTTAACATTTAATTCAACTGCAGGTGAAATGTGTGTTTAACACAGGAATAGTAATATAACCATAATGGCTGAGGTATCTGCCTCTAAACAATGGGATTATTCGTTCATGTACTACTTAAGATATGACCATGTTTGACACCAGTATTGGTTACCACCAAGAAGTGGAACAGAAAAGTTAATAAACCTTGCAAGATATACTAGTAATAAATTTATCGAACAAGATGGCTGTTGCAATACATACTTCCATAATTCATTCACAAAGACATACAATGTATATATTATTTCTCCATAGTAATGCCCTGTATAAACACATTACCACATTTTATGTTATACTGAAAACTCTTTACCAATCAATTGAGTAAAACAATAATGATTTAACTTTACTATGAACTCATATTATCACTTATCATAATATATATTTTGTAAAATCTCAAAGCTTTACTATAACTATAACATTAACAGCACTACTAAGAAATGGACTAACTTATATCTTCTGGCAATGTAGTAGAACACTGGGTTTCCGGCTCGACTGGTGCCGGCCTGGTAAAATATATGTAGGTTTTTCAGGGACTTGAACTCATCTTTCTCATGCATGTTGTGCTTTGACATAATCTCTTCAAACTTGGTGCTGGTCATGTCCATTGAACTCCACCTATACAAAATATATATAAAACTTCATTACAAAATTAAATTCATGGTTCGGTTTTTATGCGAATTTTAACACATATTTTAATCATATCTTGGCGGTTTGTCCATATAACCAGATATCCTGGACAACTTATGGTAACCTATTATCACTTATTTCTCCGCAAGTTACCAACTACTAATCCCACATGAATTCTGAATCAGCGGTTGAAAGACATATTACCATTTGACACAATGTCTGAGAACAATTGTCACTGAGAAGTTTCTCCTCACCCATAGATCAAACAATTGATCACTGGATTACAAATTTGATGTACTGAACTACTACATGTAGTTTGTGATATATTGTAGAACTTATCAAATATGCTTAATACAGGAGATTTCCTCTCTTTTTTTATCTGTTTCCTGTTGCATTTGTCAAAATAAAAAAATAGTAAGAAAGTTAGAATGAGGAGAAAATGCAACAATTAAAGTATAAACTCACCTCGAGTCTGCTAACAGATGAATCTTGGTCATGGACAATCTGTAATATAATGGAAATGAAATGCATTAAGATACTTGCAAAAATAATACTTAAATTCTCACACTTCTTAAAAAAAACTACTTTTTTCTTAATTTTATTGACCTATTTAAATTATTTCAAGGTCAAATGTCATAGTGATTGACATACATATATTTCTATTTTAATCCCAGATTTCAGATAGATAAATTTGTGATATACTGCCTATACCTATGTACAAGTAATGTGCCGACAGTTCAAAGTTTTAAAGCAAACAATAGAAGTAGATTTATTCACTTACTGTGAGTCTAAAGGTCTGTGTTCTGGTGGTCCAAGATACGCCAGTAATGTTGCCATCTTGTCAAATGGTCGACGTCCAACAGCCTTGTGATCTCTATAATATACAGCAGTAAAATTACCTTAGTAACAATTAAGTGATTTAAAAAAACATGAATGGTAAAATAATACTGTGGCAGTGGGCCAAGTGGTTAATTAATGTTAGCCCTATGGGTTCAATCCTTGTCTGACCTTGTCCTTGATAACCAGTAGAAGTAAAAATACATGCACTTTGTTTACATAATGCTTCTTTTATGACAAATCATAAAAATAATTCACATTTATCAATTCTTTCTTCAGGCAACAAGCATCTTACATGCTCTAAAACCAAAGTTAGAAAATTCATATTTGCCATTTCTAAAAAGTAAAACTTTATTCATTTCTGAGGAATATTGTGCCTTATATATGTAATGATTATCATGTTATATACTAACCTACTACTGGAGAGATAGTCTCCAATCTTCTCCTGGTTATTCCACAGGAGTCTGTGCAGAGCTAAAACATTGGCATCATTAATGAAAGACAAGCTATGGTTGCCAGTGTCCGGTATATCAACATCTGATGCTATCTCTGTGAAAAACCTGCATCAAGAAAACATATCTTCATATAATACAAGACTGTATAGTACAAAAATGTGTGCATTTATAAAATGCAGTAACATTTATGCAGAAACCTGTATAAAAATTTACAACAACACAATTTTGATCTGAAATCTGAAACCCTTATAGTAGAAGTTGGATAACCTCCCAAACTTATGTAAATAGTTATTGTTTATAGCTTTTCTGGTGGAGGAAGATCTCAGGTGCCCTTTGTATATGATTTCAGGCAGGAACAGGCACCTGAGTGGAACCACAGACATTCCTTAAGCTAGCTGGATAGCTTCCTCAAATGAAAGAATCCAATGTTCCCTGTCAGGATCCGAACCCACAACAGTGAGTGGCAAGTGGTTTGAAGTCAACGACCTTAACTACTTGACCACAGACATCCCTTCGTAATCACTTTTAATACCAAGAAAATAAGCCTTTCAGAATAGAGAAAGCCTCTAACATACCTTCTACCAGCCTCAAAGTTGGCTTTGAGAATATCATTAAAGCCTCTCATGTGGTTTTCTTTGGTAAATAGCAAGTGATTGGCAATATTCTGCATGATTTTACACATCAATGTGAGACCTCGTTTTATCTTTGGTGTAGCCTCCACATCTATTATGCCCGATTCATATGGTGAAACTGTCATGAAATATCAAGAAGTTTATAAGATATTTAAGTATGCATTCACCTGAATAATTGCAAAAATCCTATAATTAACAATGATCCTTTTTTTATATGTATAAAATATAAGATGTGTTACAAACATGTCCTTACATTTAATAACATGACATCTGAGATGAGAAATGCTTGAACGTTGAAAACACTAAATATAACACATGAACTATTCTCAAATTCTTCGATAATTTACACAATTACTGAACAATTGATTTGAATACAATATCCAGTTTTTACAAATATCATTTTCAAATATCATAATATAAGCATTCACATCTTTAACTTTTAAACATGTGAGTATATCTAAACCTGAAAATGAATAATTGAATCATGCATCAGTTTATACATGTATGTACTTCTTTCACCAAACATCTCTAATTTTTTAGACATATTTATTTTCCTATAGAAAAATGGGTACCTGGTGGAAAATATGTAGTTTTGATTAACCTTTTAGATAAATATTTATTCATTATCTGATTAAAATTTATGACTCCTTTCCATCAATATTCATTACTTTTTATAAACTATAAATATTCTTGACCCTTTTTACTTAAGTCATTACTTTTTTGGCAATATTCACTACCTCTTCGGGTGAATATTTATTAATATTTAAGCTTAAATATTCACAACCAATGAACGTAAGAATTAATAATATTAATTCTAAAGATTATTACAACTTACTCTTTGGGTTCACATTTATTAAAATTTGATTAATATTAATTGGTAAATTATTCATTAAAATATTGGTAAATATTCATTAAAAACTCTTGGAATTTATTAATTAAAGCATTGGGATAAATATCAATCACAATTTAAAGCAGATATCCACTTTGTTATCTTAGTGCCAGGCTATTGTATCTGCATGGACATAGACTAAGAGAAGCAGATACTACAGTCTTGCTTTAATAGTCAGTGATTCATTGACAGGTCAGACTGCATAGAGGAGCAATCTGGCCGGACTGGTCAGACTGCAGAGAGGAGCAATCTGGCCGGACTGGTCAGACTGCAGAGAGGAGCAATCTGGCCGGACTGGTCAGACTGCAGAGAGGAGCAATCTGGCCGGACTGGTCAGACTGCAGAGAGGAGCAATCTGGCTGGACTGGTCAGACTGCAGAGAGGAGCAATCTGGCCGGACTGGTCAGACTGCAGAGAGGAGCAATCTGGCCGGACTGGTCAGACTGCAGAGAGGAGCAATCTGGCCGACTGGTCAGACTGCAGCGAGGAGCAATCTGGCCGGACTGGTCAGACTGCACAGAGGAGCAATCTGGCCGAATGATCAGACTGCAGAGAGGAGCAATCTGGCCGGACTGGTCAGACTGCACAGAGGAGCAATCTGGCCGGTCTGGTCAGACTGCAGAGAGGAGCAATCTGGCCGGACTGGTCAGACTGCAGAGAGGAGCAATCTGGCCGGACTGGTCAGACTGCACAGAGGAGCAATCTGGCCGGTCTGGTCAGACTGCACAGAGGAGCAATCTGGCCGGACTGGTCAGACTGCAGAGAGGAGCAATCTGGCCGACTGGTCAGACTGCAGAGAGGAGCAATCTGGCTGGACTGGTCAGACTGCACAGAGGAGCAATCTGGCCGAATGATCAGACTGCAGAGAGGAGCAATCTGGCCGGACTGGTCAGACTGCGCACAGAGGAGCAATCTGGCCGGTCTGGTCAGACTGCAGAGAGGAGCAATCTGGCCGGACTGGTCAGACTGCAGAGAGGAGCAATATGGCTGGACTGGTCAGACTGCAGAGAGGAGCAATCTGGCCGGACTGGTCAGACTGCACAGAGGAGAAATCTGGCCGGTCTGGTCAGACTGCAGAGAGGAGCAATCTGGCCGGACTGGTCAGTCTGCAGAGAGGAGCAATCTGGCCGGTCTGGTCAGACTGCAGAGAGAGGCAATCTTGCAGGTAACATAGGCATGTTATCATTGCGACTGACATTCAAAAAGTTAAGTGGAAATGATATATTACTTAAAATCAAGCACATAAAGCAAAGCTTAGAATAAATTAAACAAACAAAATGACAATTAGCTATGCAATATAATAAAGTGACACTAAAAATAAGAATACATCCTGTATGTAAAAACTGTCGGAAATATAATGTTTTCTGCATATAATGAGCATTATATAAACATATATTAAAGATAGATTGTATATTATCTATATTCTATTTAGATATTGGTTACAGTGTTACTGTTGTTATTATTATAGACAAACTACAAAACCCAGTAATAAATCACTTATTTTATCTAATCAGTAAATAAGTGTTACTATAAATAGAAATGAGAGAAGCCAAAGGTGTCCCATAGATAAATATACATAGTATCTGTATGTACATGCCAGTGATCTTAATATCATGCATACAGACAGCCATTTGGTTTTAAGTGTTGTTCCCTACAATTTCAAGAACTACTTAATTGTACATTTTTTTATATTTTTCGTTTTGTTTTCATATTAACAAGAGCACTGTGTAGGTCATATGGCAACTTTCCTGCTCTACTGGTCAAGGAAGACCTGTGGTGCCCCTTCTTGCATTATTTCAGACACAAGCCGACACTCGAGTAGAACCAGCAACCTTTCATAAGCTAGCTAAACAGTCCCTGGTAGGATTCAATCCATAACATAGAGAGGCAAGAGGTTCAAAGTCAATGACTTTAACCACTATGCAATGGATGTATTTATTTCGTCAGTTAAAAGTAAACACAATACAACATGTACCAAAGCAATTTTCATATGAACGTTCAAAAACAAGCCTAAATGTTCATAAACATAAACTTAATGGAAACACCTTCTTACAAATAATATTTCATTTTTTCAAAAATAACTTTTCAAGACCAAGGTACTGCTTAAGACAAAATAATCTTTAAAATACTCTTGTTGACTTTCATTTGTATATCCTGCTAACTTAAAAATTACAGGATATTTTTGATAGCACAGTCTACCCAGACAGAGAAAACAAATGAGAATGGGAATTCAAAATGAAATGCAACCTTAAAATAGTTTCACTTTCAAACATTACATGAATTTTAGTGTAAAAATTTCTTTATTGAATGAGAATTTCTTTTTCAGAATGTGATGATTACATATAAATTTAATATAAATATATATATATATATAAATGATGGTAGGATAGCCAAATGATTCATTTCGGTTCTTACAAAATGATATTCATAGGAAATATCAGCTTCACTGATGAAAGAAGACCCTAGGATATTACGGACGCAAGCATGCACCCATGTAGAACCACCAACCTTACCATGCTGCCTGAATCGCTTTCTCACAACAGATTCAAGCCCACAACAGTAAGGGTCAAGTGATCATAAGAAATTATGTGCATCTGGCCACAAACTACCAACCAGAAATGAAAGTTATATATGACAATATAAAAAATGTTCCAAGATCATGCATTTACAAAATAACTCTAGGAAACATTATGTAGTGACTAAATTTCAGAGTTTGAAATTAATATAAATAATTGATCTAAATTAATATGGCGACCAATCTGAGCTGTGTGGTTCATTTAGCCAAGTTCCACATAGATTATGTTTAGAATTCAGTTTCAGGTGGTATACATTTGTGAAAGTGTAGAAAATCTAGATGACCTAAATGTTTTAGCACAACAGTAAATTTACAACAGACACACAGTTGACCAAACTGTCTAGCATAATATGAAATAGGTAATTACAAACAACTTCAAATGCAAAATACAAGACAAATTAGGAAGATCATCTTTTGCAGGTCATGCTCATGTGATAACAAAAAAATATACATTTATATAAAAGAAAATTCAAGAAATCATTGTTCTTAATTACATTTATAAAAGTGATATCTTTCTTCCATTAATGTAAAACCATGCATCTGATTGGTTAAATCTATCCAGTCTTTGATAACTACCCATCGGTTCATTATAAAAAAAATTAATTGTATCTTACAACAAAAGTTGACAATGAAAATCAAATAAGAAAAAAAGTATCTAAATTTAGTGCAAAAACTTATGAATTTTTACATACATTATTAAAAAGAGAGAGAGAATCTGATGTTAAACCCCAGGTGCATTAATGTCTAAGACAACAAAGTTTTAGGTCTGGTTAAAGAATAAGGAAACCAAAAAAACACCAACTGCATATCACACCAGTGACACTAGTTTTCACTACACACGTTACCTATAGCTGGATTTATGAAGCGTAAAAATATCACTGTTCCTATCACAGTCCACACGGCCTCTCCGGTACTTTGTTGAAAACGCTGATTGACTACGTGAAACAAACAGTGACACATACTTCGCAGTTTCGATGGGAACCTGTCATAATTTCAGACGATAATAACATGGTCAAATACAGAAAAGATACTAGTAGGATCTAGAAGAGATGCCCATGCACAATAGTTTATTCAGCATGACAAAGCAAAATTTCAAATTATCACAGAGCAATGTGATTGGTCAATGGTAAGCACAAGCATGCTTCTGATTGGTTAATTCTATCCAGTCTGTAAATATGAAAAGTAAGTTGTAAGTTCAAGCTATAAATAAATCTGATCAGAAATAGTCTAAATAAAACATTAGCAAGTGTAAACTCAGTCATCTTTGCAACTTTGCCACTGAATGATAAGCTAAGGTGTACAATCTGTAAACTGATTCATCTAATGCATGGGGGAAATGTTTTTCTGAACCCTATCCCAAAACAATCACCCAAACCCCATCCCTATCAAATTTCAGAGTAATTCAAATTCGTCTCTCACAAATGCTACATTTAACGTTCTGAATTTTTGATAAAGCATTTCATTTCAGAGTAAACAAAAAAAATTTTTAAATTTCATTTCTGAGTAAACAAAAATATTAAAACAAGAAGCAGCGGTGATGAAAGTTGCTAAGCGACAGAATCCACTTGTGTTAGTGTCATCAAGCAAAACATGTACAGCAAAAAGACAAAAAATCTGAGCTACCAACATGTATCAACCCAGAAATACCTCTTCTTCTAAACATACCACCATGTCAAATATCACATATACACACAAAGTTTTATATTCATTCATATTGCTATCTCAATATTTGTGTACATATGTTCCAAAACCAAACATTCAAACTTTAGAATGAAATTAAATTCAAAGAAAAATTGAGATTGTTATTCCCGATTTCATTTACCTAGCTGTAATAGGATGTCTGATAAAAAATATAATGTATATTAAACATGCATTCATTGGCCAATTTTGTGGTGACTTATATTAATTGCTCAATTAACTCTACACTTTGGTTTTTCATGATTGTTTGTTGGTTTTGATTGGATTTTATGTTGATTTTAACACATTCTTGGTCATATCAAAGACGTTAGTCAAACTTAAAGCTTTCCTGGATAACTAACTAACTAGTTATCACAAAATTTCGCCCCAAGTGACTTTATTATAAACCCACATAATTTCTGAAGTGAGAGGCAAATAAATGACCATGACTGTTGAGGACAACTGTCATAGAGAAATTGTGAACCTATGACCCCTGGATTACAAATATGATGCTCTTGTTACTGAGCTATTGCTACTAAGCTAAGCAGGCCGATAATTTTTCTATCATTTGTAATAGGTATTTTTAAGAGAAAACATAAAAACCTCAAGATTTCATCAAAGAAGAGTGAGTAATAAAATTTAAAATGAAATTAATTGCACATATCTGAAGCTAGGGTACATATAATCAGACATATATATCATCAGGGTAACATGGGAAAAGGTGACAGGGCAGAAGAAATGGGTAGCATTGATTTCTCTTACTTTTTTTGCGTATTAATCATACTTAGAAAATTATTTGTCCTATATGACCCATTATAATTTGAAATGTTGAATGAGAGTGTGTATAAAACCTATTTCTTTAAGAATCATAGCGGCAAGAGGATTGTTAGGTAAGCACACAGGTGAGGTATTCCTCAGTTAATATACATAATCTCTGTCAAATAACTGAACTTCATCACATATCACACATCACAATGTACAAATTTACTCAAGACCATTTTACATACATATTATGCAGTGAAATTATGAAAATGACCAAAAATCAATGATTCTTTCCAAATAATGATTTAAAAATTGCTGCTGTAATGTTGTAATGTATAAAGCATTCAATTATTTGACAGTTAATGCTGGTCCAAGATTGACATGTTTATATGGTAGAACAAACAGCAAAATCTCCTATATCAGTTACCTAATGCAGGGTTAAAGAATCGTAAAAATATCACAGTTCCAGTGGCTAGGATACTGTCCGGCGGAAACCGGAGTGAAATCACCTGGTACAAACAGTGGCACATGACTCGAAGTTTGGGTGGAAATCTGTTAATTTTGGTAAAAATCACATAAAAACAAAACCTTCGTTATTTGTTTAATCAATACAAAAAATGATACACTACAAATCAAAATATAAGGACAATATTGTACCTTCTGTATCGCATATTACCCTATAAATTAACTTTTTTTTCTTATTGTCTTAAAACTGAATGAAGTGATCAAAATTTATTTATGAAAACAGTAAAAATTAATGGAATTTCCAGCCTTTTTCATTCCTTTTTGCAATCATATGCAAAAATGTGTATCTTTTGTAATATAAAATGTGTACATGAGTCAATTCTAGTTTCCAACACAATTTGTAAACTAGGCCTGCCTTGCTTTTGAATTGAAGGAATTCTAGTATATACTGCAGCCATTAGAATAGAAACCAGTGAGACTTTTAGAATATGATGGATGGCCAAAGCTCTACACTGGTTCTAAAACAAGACTTTATTAATGGTAGCACTGAAAGGGCTATGTGATATAGAAAGTACATATTTCCTGCCATTTAGTAAAATGACATGTATTTTAACACATCTACACAAAAGAAATCACAGTCACTGATAAAAAATAATTCAATTCCAAACTGATTAAAGAAAAACCAAAGATCTCTCACAGTTTCTGCTGCAAAATGAACAGCTCAAATGCTACAAGAAAACTACACAAACATTTTAAATTTGTTAACAAGTCCCATACTCACTACCTGAAGACAGCTCAAACAATTCTAGCTTCCAACAAAATCAAACAAATCCTCTATTCTTGTTTTAAATTATTCAATGATTTAAATTGTTCTCCAAATAATGTAAGAAACATCTCTAAATTCTTTAATTACATATATTCTACCAGTATTTGAATGACCTTTCAAGCTAAATTTACAATAAGCTTACATTCAACAAACATTAATTATTTCTCTTCGTTTTTTTTTTGTTTTTGTTTTTTTTGCCAGTCGATCGATCAGTCAGATTAATCGATCATAGTCAGATATAAAGATGGTTGTTTCACCATTGATAGTGAATGTCCATTTACAATGTATACTCCATTTAACCCTTAACCTGCTGGAATTAAGTGATAAACCTTTACCACCAGTATAGAGCCAGGCCAACCTACACTCATGTTCAGTCTGACCAGGTTCTATCCTGATGTGAGCTCAATTTTTGTATTTTGATATTAAAATCCCTTAAATATTTGAATGGACTGTTCCAAAATCAAAACTGGACCAATCCATTACACAAATCCAGCAGGGTAAGGGTTAAAAAAAAAGGTTAAAAAAAAACCCAACATGTCACTTCTGTTTAATAAAGATATCCTTGCACCGTAAACTAATTTTCCGACCAACAGCTGTTGAAATGTACAAAATTATTAAAAACTATAATTATAATACACATATTATCCACCTTGATTTGTGAGATTTTATAATCAATATACAAATTTGACATATTTACTTACTTATGAGCAGACCCAACTATGGCATTGAACACTTTCTGGGTGATGATAGTCAAATTCTTTTTATTTTCTTCTATATTTTCACCTGCCTCTAACCTGTAATAATACAACAAAACATTTTGATACATTTGAATTGTCTTAAATAGGAAAGTCTTCCCCGAGATAAATGCTGTTTGTTTTTCTGCTTTTAACACTAATTTTAACAGATTATTTGATCATATCTTGGCAGTCTGTCCACCTAACTGGCTTTCCTGGTTAACTAACCAGTAATTAACCAATTTCTCCACAAGAGACTGACAACTGACCATTAGACTCAATAGTTAAGATTAATTGTCATGAGGAAATTTCATTTCTTCTGAGGATTTTGAATGCTCTGAATTATATATTTACTAAAACATTAAAAGCAACTGTTCTTTCAAGGTCTACCATTGTGATGAGAAAACAGGTTTTAATCAGTAAAACATTGTTACATGAACCTGTCCCTGTTTTGTGTCACATTAATAGCATAGCCAACCTTTCGTTAGCAAACTGGACAGCTTCCATATAGGCAAGAATTCAATAGCTTACTGTAGTAAGCTGATCATATAAGCAACATGAAAAAGATAGCATGATTTAATTTCAAATTAACTGATAGTAACAAGATACCTGGCAGGATCCACCTCAAATGAAATCTGTTGACAACTGTGTTCTTTTTGAAACATCTCCATGATGAGGGGGTTTAAAAGTTCCCGTAGATATCCGAGTCCATAAAATCGGAAACAGTATGCCATGATCTTACTGGCTAAACTATTCCCTCTAAACAATGTCTGCATACAATCTGCTATCTCCACCTGTTACAGGGTTTATCAAAATATTCTTAATACATCAAATTTATAGGGTATGTATAATAATAATAATCTTGCTACTGTTTATTGTAAGACGGGTTAAAAGCCATAGTCGTATTACTAGCTTTTTCTTTTCTTTTTTTCTTCTTTTCTTTTCTTTTCCCACTTTTCTGTTGTTGCAACAACTAATAGCTTCAAACAAGTGATGTCAGATTTCAAATTATTTTCAGCAAAATTGAGATCGATTTATGCTGCTGAGAAATTTGAAATATAGTAGTCCTCCCTAAAATTACATCACCTGTAATACCATAGTAATCCAATCAATTGAAACATGGCAAACAGACTTAGATGTCTTGTCTTAAAATCAATGACTTATACTTTGATTGACATGTGTTCTTTAAAGTGAATATGCAACAGTAATTATCAGATAATTTGTTCAATGGAAGCAAGACTTAGTCCTTTTAATTATTACAACTTGCTAGCTAAAAATGACGTACTGCACAACCCAAATCCTACAAGTATGCTGATCACATGATGTAAAGTTAACTTACTTCTTTAGAGAACATGTTCCACAGCAGTTGATACAGCAAATGTTTCGCATCAAATAGATTCACGAACACTCGAGCCAACTCGTCCTACAATATATCACATGTTATATTATAATTCTAACTGTAAATTACTGTAAAATTAAATATTTCTGCAAGGCCTAAATTTTGTACATTCAACATTTCACACATATAATCCCTTGCAATCTTCTTCAACAATATTCCGTAGGTTAGAGAGTTCAGTCATGCTGACCTGGTTGACCATTAACTGATATCAAAGACTGGTTGCTATTGCTATTAACACTTGAAAGACTTAAAGTAAGGTAAGAGTAGCAATGTATGGTACTTTACCATTTGTGAGGTAGGTACTACAGTAGCTAACGCCATGGCTATAGGCAGTTCTCCTTTATCTCCGATCATAGTCACCAGTTCCACCAATCTCTCGAACCTATCAGCCAGTGCTGTCTCTGCCAGGGTCTCAAACTCTGTACCTTGTTGTAAAATTTTGGTCAACACCTCCATGAAGGCAGCTCGAGTCTGAGGGTCTTTGTGGTAGCCCAATGCTTTAATATAAATCATCATTTATAACTCACAAAATAATCGCTTACTTTTCCTCCTCTTAAATTTTGCACTTAAAATCTTTTTCAAGAAGAACATGATGTTTAATAAAGGCTAATTAATGCTACATGTGTAAAATATTCATTGCACATAGTCAGGACTATAATGATATATCAAATATTTCAATTCTTTTGGCAAATGACAATGGCAAAATGTTAATTGTTTTTATTATATCTTAAAAAACAAATACATACACAAAAATCAACACTGCTATGTTTCTAAATTATCTTGAAAAAAGATTCCAAAATCCCAACTTTCTCCATAAGATACCATTAAGACTTTTATAGGAAGTTTTGTGACAGCCAGACAGAGGAGAAGTGATCCTTATATGTGACTGCTACCCAGTAGCAGACGACACAAAAAGGAGTCCCAATTAGTATTGGTTGAACATTCTTCTCCTATTGTATGCACATTATAATTTTCTTGATTGCCGATTTTTGATATTAGTTTGATAAAGCATTGATGTAACAGAAATGGTACTGAAGTCTTAAGATTACCTAAGGTAAAGAATTTTACTGTGTAACAATATCTTACCAATAGAGTGCATCAGTCCACTATCTATGTTTGCATTGAGTAGATTAGACATAGCCTGTACTGTACAATTTCTTAAAGCACTCAGATTTGACGTGCTTCTCTTACGATTGGGGTCCATGGCCTTGTCTTGTTCTTCCTCTGAACAGTCATTTAACAGGTTCATAAATAATGTCAAATACCTGTAAAACATATCAACATGTTATATATGAAATTGAATATGTTTCTTACCGAGTTTATTAAAAATTTAAATTATTTAAAAATGAGTTTATCTAAGATCTCAAGATCAAAAAACAAGTATTTAATAAACTGTGAATGATTAAGAGCATAATTCACATAAATCTTTTCCCATCAAATATAAAAAGTTGTATATTTATAAAAAGTTATCCAGGTATGATAATATTGATTTATTTTTGTTTTTTGTCGGGTTTCAAGTCACACAGACACTGTAATATTCACATAATGTCTATCCAGCTTAAATGGTAGAGAAAGGCCTCAGTCATTATTTCAGGCAAGAGTGTGCATCTAAGCTAGCTGGGTAGCAGGGTGAAAGAATTCAAATTACCAGGCAAGATTTGAACCCACAGTCGTGAGGGGGGGCTTTAGTAACAGCAAAAGCAGAAGTTACAAGGATGGAGAACATAATATCACTATAATTATTATTTTAAACCTTTTCAAACCATCAATGAATATAATAAAAACCCTATTCCTCTCTGTAATCTACATAACATTTTGTTGTTTCTACCCTTATCGTATATGACCTGCATTACTTAAAGAATTACACATAATTGAGCCTCTGAGTGGGTAAGGGTGGAAAAATTGAAAAGTAGTTGTAAAACATTAACATGTTGCAAGAAACACAACATACTTGAGAAAGAGTTGAGATTTAGCCTCCATGAGATCACCACGGTCACTCTCTTCTGGCTGTAATGGCAGACCGGCTAGTAGAGCGGCCACTGCCTCCATGCTGGCCTGGTCCAAATCTCTGTACAAATAAACAAACAGACATTGTTTATGTCAACATTTACACACTTCCTTCTTACCACTACTCTCACATTTCCACAAACAAAGTCTTAATTTCTAAATATCTGAAAACTCAAAATGTAAAATGTTATCCAACCACGTAAGAGTACATAGTTAAAGCAACTGCTTCACAGATTTACAACAAAATTTTATTAAAATGAAAAATCATACCTTCAATGTGTATGGGTATAAATCAATCAAAGTTGTAAGAAATTTATTTTAAAATAAGGGTCTAAAAGTCATACCCAACATCTGTGAAGATGGTGCTTTAATAATGTACATGAAAGTATATATATATGTATATATTTCTTTATATTTATAGAGCTAGAGCTATTATTACTACATAATTAAATGATAAAACAAAGACATTTAAGTAAAAACCTAAGACTTAATAAATTTAAAGCTTTAAAATAAAATGCACAATTAACAAATAAACACATGCAAGCATAAAAAGAATAAAAGAGCAGATATTGCAGAAACACAGAGACTGTTATTATATACACTATCATTTACACCACAATCATGCATGGCATATCTGCAACAACAACAACACTTACATTCACATCTTTTATGTTATGCTGACCACCTTCGTTTTGAACTTCCAGGAAAAAAATTCACCTGCTTACCTTAGTCTCAAGACTTATATGCTTACGTTGATTACTTACGAGGAAAACACTGTTTATGTACTCATCGGGCATAATATACATGGCATGTTATCTAGGCAAGGACGATTATTATCAAAGAAAATGAAACTATAGTGACAATAGCATGTGTTTTAGGCAAGGATGATTAATACCAAAACAAAAAGAAACTAGCGATATCTACATAAAATATGAATTTCCTAGCACTGTTATTGTGACAACATTCACAAATTAGACTTCTGAATATTTTATCGACTTTTTATTTATTATCCACAAAAAAATGACCTAACCTTGCCCCTTGAGTTTTATGCACATGAAACCATCTTAAAAGTTCAACTTTAAACTTATTAACTGACCTTAATTGACCTCTCTCTCAATGTCTGTTTTGTGAGAATGGTTTTAAAAAATAATATGAAAGAAACAACAGGGTTATGATGGCCCTTTAATGATCACCATGATGCAAGAAAATCTTGCAAGGTACATGTATATATGCCAGTTATTTGCCTCATTAACAGTATTACAATGTATTACATTGCAACATTTTACTGGTGTATAAAAGCCAAGGAGTTGCAACAGCAGTCCCCATTTTGAAATATTATACTCTGATTATATGTATCGCCATCAAAACCACAATTTCCAGATATAACAGTTATATAACTAATTATAACACTGCATGATTTTAACTTCACTTTTCATTGGACCATCATCATGAAGTAACTTTCCGTAATAAAGGAAGTTTGCAAATTTATAAATATGTTATAGTTCTTGTCAGATAATTTAGCCATATATATAAACAGTTATTTGAAATACAACCCTCACCTAACAGTACAAACAACCATTTATATATGGTGATATAACATGTCAAGAATGTTTATAACTAATTATATCTATACTACTTAAATGCAACACATGAAATACACATTACATTTATAATTAACAGACAGAAATATTATTTCTGTAACAGTTCAATACTCATCATACACACTAGAACTGTATAAAATAGTTTGAAAATTGCCTTGTTTTCAAAATATGCATCAATTTTTAAATTTATAATTGTGTTTACTACAAGTAGCTGCCCTCAAGCCTCACTTAAGATAAATGAGTGAAAAACTTATAACCTCTCCAATATGGCCTTAAAAAAAAAATTTATTCATATTTTCTTCGGTTGGGATTATTTTATATTTTAACATTTTATTTCATGCTTTCCAGTGTTTTATTGTAATATATCAGATGATTATATTCTGTTAAACCACTAGTGAAATTTATAAAATATAATTTTCACTGTAGCCAGACTTTATCTGAATGCGGATGAAAAGAAAATCATAACAAAATGGAATAACAGGCAGAAATAAATGCCGTCATGCGTAAATTTTGCTTCTTTATGAAAAGAAAGTCGATGTCACTATACATTATGTTAAAAATGTAACAAAATTGGAGAAATTTAACAGAACTATATTTCAAAATTGATGATGTGACGTCATGATGTGATGATGTCACAAAGGAGAATGCGCGACGTAACACGGCAAAATCAGTAAAAAATACTAAAAATCACTTAAAAAGCATGAAATAAAAAGAAAATTTATTTGTTTTACATATAAGATTGAAATATATCTCATTCGTGAACACCAGCTATTATATTTTCACTCTTGGCTACGCCACTCGTGAAAATATTGCATCTGGTGTTCACTCAGTGAAATTATATTTCAATCTTACATGCAAAACAAACAAATATCCTCTATATCTTATTATTCTATATCTTAACAATATCATAACATTTTATATTTTAACATTATCATAACATTTTATATTTTAACATTATCATAACATTTTATATTTTAACATTATCATAACATTTTATATTTTAACATTATCATAACATTTTATATTTTAACATTATCATAACATTTTATATTTTAACATTATCATAACATTTTATATTTTAACATTATCATAACATTTTATATTTTAACATTATCATAACATTTCATATTAACATTTTATATTTTCACATTATCATATTTTATATTATCGTAACATTTTATATTGTAACATTATCATAACATTTTATATTTTAACATTATCATAACATTTCATATTAACATTTTATATTTTCACATTATCATAACATTTTATATTTCAACATTATCATAACATTTTATATTAACATTTTATATTTTAACATTACCATAACATTTTATATTTTAACATTATCATAACATTTCATATTTTAACATTATCATAACATTTCATATTTTAACATTTTAACATAATGCAGAGGTTCTAGACTAAAGTTCAGATCTACTTAATTTCTACACAGATTTGATTACCACCATATATGTTTCGCCTTCATTGTGATTCCAGTTTCCCCGAGAAAGCTATTTTTAGCCATGCAATCACCAATTTTTACAGATAGGCATTAGACAAAGTATCAAAATTTCGTTGTCCTTGGGAAGTAAAACAAATTGTTGATTTTTGTTAGAAAAAAAATTGCTTGAAGTATTTTGAAACAAGTAAACTAGAAATAATAGAGCCAATTTTCAATGGGCAAGATTGTTTTGCCAGTTTACCTGCCAGATATATTTAAAACGCCATGTTTGTTCTTGAAGTCATGAAAATCATCTACTCAGTATTGGTTTTCCGGCAGTTAAAATAAGAAACCGAATCACTTTCAAAATTGTGAAAGCTGGTCAATGATTGACTGTTTGAGAAATCACAAGAAGGTGACAACCTATTGCTGATCATCAGATCGTAATGCATAGTGATGTTTAGGAGCTGATTTTAATCAGATTGTTGCATATTATAGCCATCAATTTCAAGGGTTCTATAAATAGGTGATCAATGTTATTACATTCAATTTTGCAATGAACATTTTTATATGCATTGTTTATACATGTTTACAATACATACAATTTAATAGTATGCACTTTTAAAATATGAAATCAATATTTTACAGTATATTACATGTGTAAGTTTCCTTAAATCCAGTTTATTTCAGGACATTTTGGAAAGGAAAATGTAATGTAGTCATAATTGACCTATCAGACCAGGTACTTCTGATCCTTCAAAGACATGTCATAAACAAGTTAACTGAGTCTTCATCTAGTGAGTTTATTCAGCACAAGGTAGTCAAAATCATTTCTTGGGAGTACAGACACTATTACACACATATGGCAACTTGCAAGGTTCATTGGTGGAGGAATACAACAATTTTATTTCAGCTCCTCATGGGTAAGTAAATTATTACACCTACCATAAGCTTTTAAAATTTCAAACAATCTTATGCCTGAACATCTAAAATGAACCAATCACATATCTGATGCGTGTAAACTCGACTGTCAGATGATCAAATTGCTAATGCTGGAATGCTTTTCAAAGCTTTCACTAAATTCACAAATATAACACTTGCTGATCACATTTAAGGAATGTAGCTCAATGTTTTATGACAACTAGCCTAGGTATCATGCATTAGATACTACCATTATCATAATCATTCCAGTAAAATTTCTAAATAATCTTAACAGCAGAATATCTAATGCAAAGTAAATACTAAATACACAAGCAAAATTTTTTTATTGTTTTAAAACCTTGAACATGAAAATTATGTTATAATAAAAAACAGTGTTCCCACATTTGCACAAAAAAATAAATAACATGTAAAGCACACAACATACATATGTTCGCTGACCCTCTGTGCTAGCAGCATGTCTAAAGCAAATCTAAAAATAAAGCCATATATAATCAATGTTTTAGTCCAGGAACCATAAGAGGTGCATCTATGTTGTTAGTTCAGATGTGCTGCGAGTGGAAAACTGTACTTATTTTAATCTGCACATATTTAAGCATCACTAAAAGGTGAAGAATTTGGCATCAGTATTACTGAAGTTATAACTTCAGACAAGAGAAAGAGTTCATTTATCAGTCTTTGTTTTCAACTGTTTTCTACCAATTTAGTTACATAATTCTTTATCATCTATTTAACTTTAGGTAATTCACAAAAATTGGTCATCTTGTGGTCAGGAAAAGTTCTTGGTAGGATCTATTTATTCTCTCCTGGCCTGTTGGTGACAACAGATTAGATCTATGCCACCAGTGCATGTCAAGATCAGCTGTCACATCTGTGCAGGTCTGATCATGGTCTGCATTGTTTGATATTCAGCAAGTGAGCATTTCAATTTTTCACCCCTAAAATAATGGTTTTGTCCAGATTGAAAAATGGACAAGTCTATTTGATATATTAAGTGTGGTTAAGGTAAGTACACTGAAGATGAATAACACCACTTATTACACTACACTCTACACTATTATGTTATAATGCTTAATTGACATACACAGTTTGATGACAATACC